TATAATAAAAATTATTTATTTAAATAAATTGAATATTAAAATACAAAAAATATTAATAATAATAAAAACAAAATTTATAAATAAAATATACTTAAAATCAATATGGAGAACCTAATGAGATAAAAGTGAAGAGCTTAAAAACTGTTTTTATTAATTTAAATAAATTTCAAGGATATTAATAAAAAAATTAATAATTACTTCTTCTTATTCATTATAATATTTAATCTATTACATCATTTATTTATTTTTTCAAAAATATTGGATAGCAATTTATGAAATTTAATTAATTGTAAATGGATAAAAAGAACAAATAAATATAATAATTAATTAATTATCAAATATTAATTTATATATTTGGTTTTATGAAGAGATAGATATCACAGAAAAATTAATTTAACATTCACTATTTAAACTTAATATTTGTATTTAAAACATATAATTAAAAATATATATAGTAGGAATTAGAGATGGCCTGTTATTTATTTAGTCCTATTTGAAAAAATTCTAGTAGTTAATGTTGAAGAAAAATTTTTAAAAAAGGCTAAAATTAAAAATTTAATAGAAAAATCATAAAGATTGATATATATTAAAATTATTAATTAAATTCTATTATAAAATTATTTATTTATTTTTATATAAATCTTATTCAAACACATCAGCCATTCAAAAAATAGTGATCTCAATTCACTAAATTTTCGAATGGCATTTGGCTATAATTTGTTTATCTAAAGCAAATACATAAATTAAATAGTTGCTTTTCCATATCCATGAAAACTTGAAATATGGATTATATATAGTCTTTATATAATTGCTCTACTCTTTTTTTCAAACTTCTACTTTGATGCGATATAATCTTTTCATTTTTTTCAAATTCAATATTAGATTTTACTCAATCCTTGCATTAATCTAATTCCATCTATATTTATAAAAAGCAATAAATTAATAAATAAAATCATTTTTTTTAATTAAATTTTTTATTTTCGTTTGTCAAAAGCAAGCATATTTTTATCTTATACTTTGATTTGATTTGTTTTATAGTAAATTACCTTAAATCAAGATGTAAAGAAATAATCGATTAGCATTTTCTTAAGCACATACCAATGCTATTAGCTCCCTCTTAGCCAAGTGAATTTTCCCTAAAAATATATTATATGTACATTTAACATTTAATATCTAAGTAGAGCAATAAAAGATTATTTTTTTGACAGAGATCAATTAAAATAAAATTAAATTATTCTTTATCATAAATATATTAAATACCAACTTTCAAATTTAAGCAGAGCTATAAATGATAATTATTTTGATTAATCCCAAAGATTAATTAAAATAAAATTAATTTCTAAAATGTAATATTTTTATTACAATAAATTTTGCAGTAAAAAAATATTTCATGTTTAATTAAAACTTTTTTTTTAATCAATTTAATATTGATTGCTCACTGAAAAATATAAATAATTACCCTAAATCGAGTTTTAAATTTAATATTTTCTTGCACTTCACCAAACTCATTCCAACAATCAAAGCTCCTTCAGAACCTAATTTATTCCAACTTTAATAATATATTTTAAATGAGAATATTATGTAATAAATATTTGTATTATTATCATTTTTTTTACTAATTTCTTCTAAATGTATTTGAAGTTAAAAGAAAATTATTATTTAATAAATTTACTGTAAGCTGAGACTCAAAAATTGTAAATTTTGACATTTTTCTAAACTTCTTAAAAGGTTTTATGTTCCCTCGATGCCAAATTCATTTTTGCTAATAATTTGATTAATAAAATAAATAAATATTTAATTCAAAAATCCTTAAATAAATAAATAAATAAAAATACGCAAGATTCAAGCTTATGGATTTAATATTTTGGCATTTTTCTAGACATTATCCTAATTTAGTTGTTCCTTCTGAGCATATTTAATTATCCCTAGCAAAATTAAATTTATCAATTAAATGTTGAGAGCTATGCAATCAATCAATTAATCAATCAATTTGATTTCTGAATAAACTCAATTAAAAAATTACTATAGTTCTAAATTCAAAGAGGTAACATTTTAGCACTTTTCAAGGCTTGTTGCTATATATTTAAGTCCTTCTGAATAAATTTTGTTATAACTACAAAAAAATTGATTTAATTTCCAAATTATTTTAAAGTAAGATTTAATTAATTAACGATAAAAAAGCATATGCAACTAGCATTTTACTATTTTTTCATTTACTTATAAATTTGTAAGAAATTAATTACCCTAAGTCAAGACTCAAAAAAATTATATTTATGCATTTTTGTAGGTATTTTGCAATAAAATTTGCTCCTTCTTGAGAAATTGTATTATAACTAAGAAAATTATAAATAAATTTAATCAATTTATTAATATTTTTGAAAAAATAAACTTCAATTAAAAACAAAAGAAATAAATCAAATTTAAAACATTTTATTCTTTAAAAGTAAATTAGGAAAAAACTTTAATAAAAATTAATTTATGTATTAAATGTACCCAAAATCAAGATGAATTTATTTTATATTCTGACATTTTTCTAAACTCAAAGTAATATTTTTTACACCTTTATCACCAAATTTATTTTCCCTATTAAATTATGAAATCAATTTATCTCAGTTATTTATTTCTTTTTTATTATATATTTATAATTTTTCTGCTTATAAAGATGAAATTTTTTATTTTAATTTTCTAAAAATTCACAATCTCACTTGTTTGTTTCAAAAGTATTTGCGATAAGTATCTTAGATATTTTGAATTTTAATGAGTTTATTAAATAAGCTACTAACACAATAAACTTAAAGTTTAAAATATAATTAATTATCAGATTTATTAAGAAATACCTAAAAGAAAAACTATAAAAAAATTTGGTTACCCAAGATCAAGACTTAAAGTATTAATATTTTAACAATTTTCTAATCTTTCTCCGATACTTTTTGCTCCTTCTACTAAAATTTAATTTTAACTTAAAAATACATTTTGTAAAATTTAACTATTTCTAAATAAAGTTAAAAAAAACTGTAAAACGAGATCTAGTGAAGTAATTTTTTAACATTTTTCTAAACCCATTCCAATTAAATTTGCACCTAGTTATCCAATTTAATTATAGCTATTTAAGTTAAAAGAAATATTTGAGTTTTAATAAACATTTTAAACTAATCTTAATTATTAAATAAATAGAATATATTGATGATGTTTTAGCGAAAAGAATAATTTTTTTTTCTTTGAATTAAAAATAAATAAAAAACTAGCCATCTAGTACTAAAATTAACTATCAAATAATTAAAAATTTTAAGATAATTTTTTAATAGATAAAAATTATTTATAAAAAATAAAAAATTACCCTAAGTTGAGAAACAATGATGTTAAATTTTAACATTTTTCTAATGTGCTTCCAATATAATCTGCTCGGTTATCATCAATTTTTTGCAATCTATAAAAATAAAATTAGATTTAAAATAAAAATAATAACAATAAATTAAATAAAGTAATATAAATTTATATAAAAAAAATAAAAAATATACTTCAGATCAATATGCAATATTTCATAGTCAGTTCCTTTCTATATTTCTTCAAATTTAAATATTTCAAGTTTTCTAAATTCCTTTTATAGCTTAAGCTATTTAAGTAATTCATCATCAACTTCAAATGATTCTAAGCTTTAAAGGACAGTATAAATTTAAATACTTTTGTCTTTACTAGGCTCTACCAATTTAGAAAGTATATTATTAATAAATTCAAGTTCTTCTGAGTTGCTTAAAGACAGAAAAGTAGAATAAATGCTTTAAAATTGCAATAATGATTTTTCCTTTTCTGTAACTGCTCTCTATAGAAAAGCTTCAATCAGCAATACTCCTATTGAGTACACTTCATTCTTTTTGTAAAAAAAATATGATTCTCATCATTTATTAAATATAAAAAATCTTAAAATTTATTATAATATAAGCAAGTAGAATTAAATAACTACTAATTTTTTTTCATTTTATTTAAGCAATTTATTTAAAATCTATTTAACAACATAGCTTTATAAAAATTAATTTACAGACACATCTTCTCCAGATGAAGTATTGTTAAGGTTCTTAGGTAATTGAGCTATTTTAATTTATTTATTTTAAACTTTTTTGGTTTGAATTCAACAAGAAATAAATTATACCTATGAGTAGTTAATTTTTTTATTTGCTGTATAAAATTTGGGTAGACTTAATATTGCTATTAAAAATACCTTTATCTTATAACAAAAACAAACCTTTCAATAGTTAATAGGCCATCACATATATTTATTTCATATTTAATTTATTAAGTTCTAAAATAGTCTTTAAATTGCCTTTTATTTATTTGATTAATGTTAATTTCTTTTAAAAATAGTTTTTGTTTATTACAGTCGCAAAGTTCCATAACAATACCAATTAACCCTCTTTCTTCATCTTAAATCATTTCAATTATGCTTAAAACAAATTTTTCACAATTAATTTGCTGTAATTTATAAATTTGTTTTTCAAAAGCCTAAAGATTTTATGAATCTTAATCATCTTATTTTAAATAAATCTTGATTGCAACTTAACATCTCAATTTCTAAGAAAATGCTGCTGTTAAAATTGATAAATTTCCTTTTTTCAATACTTTTATAAAATTATAATTTGTTTGCTTTAGAAAATCTTTGACAATATCTTCATTTAATCCTTTTATTAGACTATCTCTTTAAATATTTTTTGGGTCCATTTTATCTTTTATTTTGCTTTAAATAGTCGATTTATTATTATTTTTTAATTAAGACTTATTTCTTAATTAAATTCATGACATTATATTTTAATGTAAGTGTTTATTTATTTATTTGAATATTTTTTCAAATACATTCATTATTAAAGAAATTCAAAAATTAAAAGCATTAGAAAGAGTATTTATACTTAATGATTTACTAACTCTTTAATTCCAAACAAAATGCTTATATAAAATTATTTAACTAAAATTTGATTTTGATATTAGCATAAATGATAAACAGGGTCTAAATAAAAACAGGGGAGTTATTTCTTCAAAATCATCAAATAAACATATATTTATTTGTCTTATCTTAATATTTAAAAATCATATAAATTATTTATTTTAAGGTATGTTCAACAATTTTTATTATCAACATACATTTTATAGAATGATTTTGCAAAATGTTATTTATTTTTCTTCCTTTTCTAAAATAAATCACTAAGTTAAAAATAAAGCAAAGCAAACACCTCTTTGTACCCTTTTAAAAAATAAAGGTTTTTTATTTTGAAAATTATGATCAAAAACTTTAAATTAAAAGTTTAATTTAATTACTAAAAATTCAAAATAACAATATAATAAACACCAATAAAATATCATTTTACCTTTTTTTATAATTTGCTTATAATTTTTAGACTAAAGGTCAACATTTATTTTACATTTTGAAAGTAAAATGATAAACGTAAACCTGTATTCATTTTATCTTTATATTGAAAGTTTTATAAATTAATTTATTTAAGGTATTTTCAACCATTTTATTTTAATGAGATTCTTTACTTTTTTTATGATTGATAGAAAAAAATATAAATTGAGTATGTAAAAGATTTCTTTTGCTTTTTATATTCATTGTTTTATAAAAAACAATATAAAATACAAAAGTTTATGAGTTCAAGTAAATTTATTTAAAATATTTCAAAAATACTTTCTATTGACCTTATGCTAGGAGCAGATGCTAATAGAGTTTCCATAACTTTGATACTTTTTAAAAAATCCATATTGATGAAGGCCATTTCTTGTAGATAAAAAATTTTTTAATAATTTTTGATAAGGAAAAGAAATTGTTCAGAATTTTGTTCATTCAAAAAAAATAAATAAATCATGATCAAAAAATCTAAAAATAAAAAAGATTAAATAAATACAAAAATATTTGAAAAGCATTAATTATTTCTTTTTAGAAGGTCTAAATATTCAATTAAATGTAAGTAAAATCTTAATTAGGAAACCTATTAAATTAATAGGAAAGCTGATATTATAATAAAAGAAATTATAATTACATTTGAAAATTTTTGATGATGCACATTAAGTTAATAAATGAATTTTGATAATCCAATACAATCAACTCATCATTTTTTGCTTAAGCAATTATTTAAGAAGTTCTATCTAATTATGGTTCAGAAACAAAGAAATAATTAATTAGAAATATATTTAGTATAAACGAAATATATATGAAGAATCTCTTAGCAATTATAATCATTGGAGCCATAATTTCTCCATATATAAATTGCATTGAAACGATGAGCGCTCGTACAGACTATACACAATTATCTACTTTAATTAATTTTAACTTAGGTTCTCCAGCAGTTCCTCTCAAACTGCAAGCTTATTTTGGTACATTGTCTGATAATTCTAATCTGGGATAATTTATCATTGACTTAAGCATAAGGGATACTAATTATTAGTACTATGAGTAGTTGTACAACATTGGAGTTAAAAAATTTTATAGCATAGACAAAAGTTCAACTGTTTAAATAGAGAAACCATTTGAAAGAAAAGAATAAAGTCGTTATGGAGGATAAATATCTGGAGTATATGCTAAAGATGTATTATCATATAACAAAATAAAGTCTAATTATCAATTTGCTTGTGTTCAGTTTGCATATGATTTAATTTAAATTTATTATAATGGTGTAATTGTTTTCAATAAAATAACTGACAACATCTTTGATTAAATGTATTAAGAAAATGCTATTAGCACAAGCGACTACATTTTAAGTGGATCTAAATATGATTTGCCAATAAGTGACACTACTTTCATATAGACAAACAGTATTGATATTACCTTTGATTTAGACATTAATTCAGAATACTATAACAATCCCTCTAATCCATTGGTTAGCAACTCAGATACTTTTCAAATTATGAGCTATGGAATCTATTTAGATGGTGAAGATTTTACTGATAAAATAAAACAAAAGCGAATCACATTAGATTAGCTTACAGATCAGAGTGGTAAAATTAATGACACTACTTATATCCCTAAAGATCTTCTAGAAATGGTAATGCAAAATTATAATATCCCTGATGATTTTACTTATAGAAGTTGTAATAATTGTTAATGCTATGAAGCTGAAAGCTTGCCTGAAATAAGTCTCTTTACTGAAGAATACAAAATAACTATTAAACCAGATCAATACATAGTAAAATATGAAAATAGTTGCTTTGTTAATTTAGACAAGTCAGACAATTTTGTAATTTCATCTCCTTTGTTATTTAATTCTGATATCAAAATTTTGTATCAAAAACAATCTAACTCAATAAAAATAATTAATGCAAAGCTGATCAACCACATGAACTTGAAATAAATAATAATAATATTTCCTATCTTAAATCTGCTTATACTAATAACCCTTTTATATATCCCTATTAAATGGGCGTTAAATTTTTAGTCTTATAAATTAGAATAAATTTCTACTTTACAATGCTAATTTAAAATGAAACAAAATTGATAAAGTAATTTTTATCATCAAAGCAAAAAATAAATCTAAAAATAAATAAGAATTCTAAATATTCCTAAAATAAATTAAAATATATGAAATTATTTGTTGTAAACTAGATTTTTATTTTGTTCTTCTTAGTAATTTATATTTTTTCAAGCTATATTTAAAGGATTTGGTTTCATTTAAATCATTATTTTATTATTTTGAAATAAAACAACAATAACTAACTATTAAATCGAAATCAATATGGATTGAATTTGACGAAGTTAAACCTCATAAATTTTAAAATATAATATATACCTGTTCCTGCATTTGAAATATCACTCACTGATTATTATATCTAATAATATTTGTGATTTCAAACTTTTTAGATTATTTAATTATGATATTAAATAAATTGATTTTCTGAAAACGGAATTACATTATAAAATATATATTTATTACATAACTTTTATATTCAATCTTTATTGTTATAAAAAAATACATACTATTAATTAATTAATTAATAAATATTTAATTATTAATTTTAGTAAATTCAAAATACATTCAATTTAACTAATCTTTTGATTTTTTAAGCTAATCTTTTGATTTCTAAGTATGATTCTATACTGAATTGTCTTTTTATATATATAAATATATTTTTTAGATAAATTAATTGTTTTACTTACTTACTTATAAGTATAAATTTTAAACAATAAAAAAATAATTACGTTGTAAAAAGTGTCAATAACTTTATATTTTTACAGTTGATAGTATCACTAGATTTTAAAAACTTCTCATCATTACTTATAAGATAAAGATATTTAAATAACAATCTTGAAAGCTTTAACATAAATTTTTTTCAATTGTAATAAATGAAATTTACTCTGAGATAAATAGTAAAGTTGTAAGTTAAGTGCAGTTAGTTAAGAATAATCTAATATCTTATGCTCCCTTATCACCGATTTTATTAGAACTTTTTAAAAATTAGTTCATTAATTATTTTAATTTTTTTGAGATTTAAGCCAACAAATATAAATTATTTAAATTTTAATAAATCATCTATTAATAAATGTAAAATTTATTTTACTTAATAATAAAAGTGAGATTAGTAAGCAATTTGCAATTATTAAGTGCTGTAGCGATGGTAGAAGCTCCATCATCCCCAATTTAATTTGATCTTTTATAAATTAAAATCACATTTAATTAAAAATTAAAGACATTTACTTTATCAATTTTAAGTTTATTAAATTCAGTTTGAATAAAAGCTTTTACATAATTAATTATTTTCAAAAATAATAAATAAATAAATAAATAAAATAAATTTACCTTATCCAAAATTATAAATTTGTTAATTGAGTGCAGTTACCCAAACCTAATCCAATATTTTATGCTCCTTTTTCACTGACTTTATTATTCCTTTTCAATAAAAATAAATCAATTTATTAACTATTTTAATTGTTTTAACATTTCAATAAAAATATAAAATAATTAAACTTTTTTAAGTTATCAATAAATAAGTATAAAATTTGATTACGAAATATTAAAATCGAGATCAGTAAGGAATTTGCAGTTGCCAAGTGCTGTGCCGATAGTAGAAGCTCCATCACAGCCAATTTAATTTGATCTTTTATAAATGAAAATAAAAATTATTTAAAAATTAAAGACATTTGATAAATTCTAAACTTATTTAATTAACTTTGATTGAATAAAAAGCTTTTAGATAATATTATATTAAATAAATTTACCTTAACCAAAATTTTAAATTTGTAAGTTGAGTGCAGTTACTCAAACCTAATCCAATATTATATGCTCCTTTATCAGCAATTTGATTTTACCTTTTCAAACAAATTAAATCAATTTAAATTGTTTTTTTTGACATTTAAATCAGAAATTTATTTTACGAAACATTAAAGTGAAGATTAGTAAGCAGTTTGCAGTTACCAAGTGCTGTACCGATAGCAGAAGCTCCATCATCACCAATTTAATTTAAGCTTTTATAAATGAAAATCATATTTAATTAAAAATTAAAGACATTTTATATATTTTAAGATTATTTAATTCATTTTGATTGGATAAAAAGTTTTAAAATAAATAATTATAATCAATATTGATAAATAAAATAAATTTACTTAATATGAAATACTAAATTTGTAAGTTGATTACAGTTACTCAAACCTAATCCAATACTTTATGCCCCTTTATTACTGATTTTATTTTACCTTTTCAAATAAAATATATCAATTTAAATTGTTTTGAAATTTAAATCATAATAAAAAAAAATAATTCAAACTTTTTTAATTTTTCAATAAATAAATATAAAATTGATTTTACGAAATATTAAAATGAAGACTAGTAAGCAATTTGCAGCTACCAAGTGCTGTACCGATACTAGAAGCTCCATCATCCTCAATTTAATTTATGCTTTTATCAATTAAAATCACAAAAATTAATTAAAAATATTTATTTTATAAATTTTAAATTTATTTAATTCAGTTTGAATATTAAACTTTAACATCATTATTTAAATAATAATAAATAAATAAATTGAATAAATTTACCTTATCTAAAATTGTAAATTTGTAAGTTGAGTGCAGTTACTCAAACCTAATCCAATACTTTATGCTCCTTTATCACCGATTTTATTTTCCCTATTCAAATAAAATAAATCAATATATTAACTATTGCTATACTGTAATAATTATTTCTTAAGTAGGAAGTATATATAAACTGTAATTTCTCGATTACTAGGATTTCTGAAAGTCGGAAATCTGTTTATCCGAGAGTGAAATTATTTGAAATATCACAAATCATTATATCATGATCCGTGATATTTCAAATGCAGGAACAGGTATATATTAAATGTATATTTCTAACTCAAAAAATAATTGTTCGAGAATAGCTATATTTAAATTGTTTTGAAGTTTAAATCAAATTATATTAAATAAATTAAACTTTGTTAAGTTATCTATAAATAAATAAAAATAAAATTAATTGTACGTAATATCAAATAGGAGATTAGTAAGGAATTTGCAGTTACCAAGTGCTGTACCGATAGTAGAAGCTCCATCATCACCAATTTAATTTGAGCTTTTATAAATGTAAATCAAATTTAATTAAATTAAAGACATTTATTTTACAAATTTTAAGTTTATTTAATTCAGCTATAATAAAATTTTTTACATAAATTTTTAAAAAGTAATAAATGAAATAAATTTACCTTAACTCAAACTATAAATTTGTTAGTTGAGTGCAGTTACTCAAACCTAATCCAATATTTTGTGTTCCTTTATCACTGACTTAATTTTCCCTTTTCAAATAAAATAAATCAATTTATTACCTATTTAAATTATTTTGACATAAAAATCAAATTATATAAAATAAGTAAAATTTTTTTAAGTTATCAATAAATTATAAAATTTGATTACGAAATATTAAAATAGAGATCAGTAAGGAATTTACAGTTACCAAGTGCTGTACCTATAGCAGAAGCTCCATCATCCCCGATTTAATTTGAACTTTTGAAAATGAAAATCACGTTTAATTAAATATTAAAGACAATTATTTTATTAATTTTAAGTTTATTTAATTCAGTTTGAATAAAAAGCTTTTCCATAATTATTTTTCAATATAATAAATGAGATAAATTTACCTTATTCCAAATTCTAAATTTGTAAGTTGAGTGCAGTTTCTCAAACCTAATCCAATATTTTGTGCTCCTTTATCACCTAAATAATTTTCCCTTTTCAAATATAATAAATCAATTAATTAACTATTTAAATTGTTTTGACATTTAAATCAAAATATGTAAAATATTAAAACTTTTTTTAAATTATCAATAAATAAATAAATTGTTTACGAAATATTAAAGTGGAGATCAGTAAGGAATTTACAGTTACCAAGTGCTGTACCTATAGCAGAAGCTCCATCATCCCCGATTTAATTTAAACTTTTAAAAATGAAGACCATGTTTAATTAAAGACATTTATTTTATAAATTTTAAGTTTATTTAATTCAGTTTGGATAAAAAGAATTCCATAATTATTTTTCAAAGTAATAAATGAAATAAATTTACCTTATCCGAAATTCTAATTTTGTAAGTTGAGTGCAGTTTCTCAAACCTAATCCAATATTTTATGCTCCTTTATCACCGACTTAATTTTTCCTTTTCAAATAAAATAAATCAATTTATTTATTAACTATTTTAATTGTTTTGACATTTCAATAAAAATATATAAAATAATTAAAACTTTTTTAAGTTATCGATAAATAAATAAATAAATAAAAATAAAATGTGTTTACGAAATATTAAAATCGAGATCAGTAAGGAAATTGCAGTTACCAAGTGCTGTACCAATAGCAGAAGCTCCATCTTCCTTAATTTAATTTTCGCTATTTTAAAAATGAATGAAATTTTATCTATAAATTGTAAGTATATTGAATTCATTCATTTTGAATAAATAGCTTTCTCATAATTTTTTTAAAAGTAATAAATGAAATAAATTTACTTAATCCAAATTTTTAAATTTGTAAGTTCAGTGCAGTTTCTTAAGCCTAATCCAATATTTTATGCTCCTTAATCTCCAATTTTATTTCCACTTTTCAAATAAAATAAATAGTTTAACTAATTATTTATATTTGTAAGATATTCAATTCAAAATAAAAAAAATAATTAATTATTATTTTTTATTTATTTAGTTATTAATAAAAAAACATAAAATTAATGTTACTAGATCTAAAGCTAGAGATTAGTAAGGAATCTACAGTTACCAATAGTCCTACCGATAACAGAAGCTCCATCATTTCCAATTTAATTTAATCTATTATTAATTAATTAAATAATAAATAAATACATAATTTTATTAAAATAAATTAAAAATTATTAAAATTAAATTTGAATAAAAATAAATTAAAAAAATTTTTAATAATGAAAAATTAAATTTACTCCATCCCAATATCTAAATTGGTAAGTTGATTACATTTACTTAAACCTAATCCAACGCTTAATGCTCCTTAATCACCAATTTTATTTTATCTTTTCAAAAAAAATAAACAAATTATTAGTAAATAAATTATTTAAGTTTTTTTTATCAAAATTTGAAAATTAAAAATTACCTCAAACAAAATTTTAAATTAACAAGTAATTGTAAGTTGCTTAATGCTGTTCCAAAAGAATATGCTCCTCCATCCCCAATTTAATTGTTACTTTTATTATAGAAAATCATATGTTAATAAATTAATTTATCATCTTTTAATTTATTAATTTAAAAATTTTTAAAAAATACTAAAAATAATCAAAATATTAAATCTTTTTTTAGATTGATTTTAAAAAATGAAAAATAAAAATTACCAAAGCATAAATTTTAAATTCATAAGTAATTTACAACGTCCTAGCGCTAAAAAAATAGCAGATGCTCCTTCGTCACCAATATAATTGTCACTAATAAAATATGAAATGTCATATATTTAAAAATGAATATCAACTTAACAATTTTTAAGGATTAAATATTTTAAAAAGTTTCAAACTTTCTTCAATTAATTTAAATTTATTCTTAAAAAAAAATATTAAAATTAGTTACGAGAGGTTAATATCTAGATCAGTCAGCATTCTACAACTATCTAATGCTTTACTAATAGAAAATGCACCTTCTTTTCCAAATAAATTTGCACTTTTTAAGTTTTTACAATTAGTATAAAATTATATTGGAAAAAAATGAATAAAATTTACGCTGTATTTAAAGTTAAAGTTGTGAGTTTAGTACAACTGCTAATACCTTCTGCAATACTCTAAATCCCTCTATCGCCCAATTTATTTTTCCTTTCCAAATAAATATTTTGAATAAATAAATAAATAATTTATTTGTATTTGAAACAATTCAATAAATATGACTGGATATGTTTAATATAATTAAAATAAAATTACCATAGCTGCAGATTTAAGTTAGTAAGCGTTTTGCATCTATTTAATAAAGTGCAAATCCAAATTGCACCTCCTTCACCAATTTAATTTCCACTTTTATAAAAAAACATTAATTAAAATAATTAAGTACAAATAATGAAAAAATTTAATGAGTTAGGAAAGATGAACTTAATTATAAATAAATTTTAAAAAAAAGAATAAATACTCTAAATTTAACTGTAAACTGTTGAGATTAATTAGATCAATCGTAGTTTCTTCTAAAAGAATCTTTCCTTAAGCTTACATTTCTTTTAAACTTTCAAATTAAAAAATAAATAATTAATTAGATATCAATCAATAATTCTTCTTTACCTAGGTTCTTTAGGAGCTCCTCTGTAAAAAATACTTTGGAAAAACTAAATCTGGGCATATATTTAATCATTGCTATTTAAATAAAATAAAGTTAAATTCAATCTATTTTAATTTATTTAAATTTTTAAATTAGCAAAAAGGGATAGATTAATTAGTTATCTTAGCTTTTGATACATGGTAGAAATAAATAAATAAATAAATAACTATGCTAGGGGTTTAGATAGTATTATAATTTATTAAACACTTTGTTATCAATATTAAAGATTTATTAACAATCAAAATACATTTACCTGATATTATTAGTTTCAACTAAATTCTTTATTTATCTAAATCTAATAAATAATTAATTTATCTCATCACTTGAAATACTTTCCTTACTAAATATTAGATTGGTTGATAGAAAAATTAATTAATTATGATATTTAAGAAAATAAAGTGAAATTATTACTTAAGATTTAATATTAAAGATTCTAATTTTTCACATTATAGTAAAGAAGTGTTAAGCTAAGCAACTTATTCATTACTAAGAGTACAATTTCTATTTATTTTATAAATAATAACAAAAAAAATTAATTTTTGAATAAATCAATGAATGAAAGATATTAATTATTAATTCTTCATTTTATAAATTTATCAAAATTTATGATTAAATATAAAGGAATAAATTTTTATAAGTAATTCTTACTTCAACTATAGCTCAATACAAGTTAGAGCTTTCAAATTTGATTTCATTAACTATTTTTTTAAAAAAAATATATTATAATATTAGATAGAAGTAATAAAGATGGATACATCTTCTAGATTATTAAAAAAGTTATTCTGTTAATTCATCTTTTTATTTACTATTAATATTTATTTCATTATTAATTTATTAATTATTACTAGAAATTAATAATTTTGATTAATTAAAAAAATACTTTATTATCTTTTTAAATAAGAAAATTTAGGACTAGAGAAATTTTTAATACAGCAGATTTCAAATAAATGAAACCTTCAACTATCACCAATTTTTTCTCCTCAAAGCATTTTACATCAAGGACTAAATTTTAAAACATTTTTCAAAATTAAAATATAATTACTTACTATAGTAGATTATTTTTATTTTCTCACACTATTTCTACTACTCTATTAGTATTTATTTTCAAATGTGATTTATTTAAAGTTTGGTTGTACGTAAATCAATCAATTGAAAAAAATATTTATAAAAAAATTTTTATAAAAATTAAAATATTTTAAACAAACATTAAAAATACATACATGACAAACAAACAATTCACATAAATATTCATTTTTAGTTATCTTAACTTAAAATTTTTTTATATTTTGAGAAAATAGTAGTACTAAATAAAAAAATAAAAACTCATTACATAACTATTATATTCTATCTTTTTTGTTATAAAAAATAAGTATTGTTAATAAATAAAAAAATAAATACTTAATTATTCATTTTTGTAAATTCAAACTACATTTTAATGTTACTAATCTTTTTATTTTTTAAGCTAATCTATAGATATCTGATTTTGTTTTTTTTTGCTTAAATCTAATTTTATATATTTAAATATTTATTTTTAGATAAATTAATTGTTTTAGTTACTTATAAATATCTAATTTTAAAAAATGAAAAAGTAATTACGTTGTATAAAGAGTCAATAACTTTATATTTTTACAGTTGATAATATCACAGGATTTTAGAAACTTCTCATTAATACTTAAAAAAATATATTTTAATTATTATCTTAAAAAATTTAAGATTATTTTTTTTAAATTTACTCTGAACCAAAAACTAAATGTGAAAGTTGAGAGCATTTACTCAAACCTAATCCAATATTTTATGCTCCTTTATCACCAATTTTGTTATAACTTTTTAAAAATTAGTTCATTCATGTTTTGAGTTTTAAATCAAAAATATATTATATTTTCAATTTTTTAAGTTATCAATAAATAAATAAATATAAAATTAATTTACTGAATATATAAAGTGAGACTAGTAAGAAATTTGCATTTACTAAGTGCATTACTGATAGCTGAAGCTCCATTATCCCCAATTTAATTTGAGCTTTTATTCATGAAAATCATGATTAATTAAAAATTTATGTTAAGTTTATTTAATTCAGTTTGAATAATAAATAAGCTTTTACATAATAATAAATAAAATAAATTTACTTTATCAATAATTATAAATTTGTAAGTTGAGTGCAGTTACTCAAACCTAATCCAATATTTTATGCTCCTTTATCACCAATTTTATTTTCCCTTTTCAAATAATATAAATCAATTTATAAACTATTTTAATTAATTATTTTGGCATCTAAATCAAATTAATAATTTAAACATTTTTAAGTTATCAATAAATTAAAAAAAATTATTTTACTCAAAACTAAAAGTGAGATCAGTAAGGAATTTAAAATTAGCAAGTGATGTACCGATAGTAGAAGCTCCATCATCTCCAATTTAATTTGAGCTTTTATAAATGAAAATCATGTTTAATTAAAAATTAAAGACATTTATTTTATAATTTTAAGTTTATTTAATTCAGTTTGAATAATAAATAAGAATTTACATAATAATATATAAAATAAATTTACTCTATCCAAAATTCTAAATTTGTAAGTTGAGTGCAGTTACTCAAACCTAATCCAATACTTTATGCTCCTTTATCACCAATTTTATTTCCCCTTTTCAAATAACATAAATCAATTTTTAACTTAAATTAAAATCACATTTAATTAAAAATTAATGACATTTATTTTATAAATTTTAAGTTTATTTAATTCAGTTTTAATAATAGATAAGCGTTTACATAATAATAAATAAAATAAATTTACTCTATCCAAAATTTTAAATTTGTAAGTTGAGTGCAGTTACTCAAACCTAATCCAATATTTTATGCTCCTTTATCACCAATATCATTTTCCCTTTTCAAATAACATAAATCAATTTATTAATTATTTTGATATCTAAATCCAAATATATCAGAAATTAAACATTTTTAAATTATCAATAAATTTTTAAAAAAGATTATTTTACCCAATACTAAAAACGAGATCAGTAAGGAATTTAAAGTTACCAAGTGCTGTACCGATAGTAGAAGCTCCGTCATCTCCAAATTAATTTGAGCTTTAATAAATCAAATTCAAGTTTAATTAAAAATTAAAGAAATTTGTTTTATAAATTTTAAGTTTATTTAATTCAGTTTGAATAATAAATAAGCTTTTACATAATTAATTATTTTAAACAATAATAAATAAGATAACTTTACTTTATCCAAAATTCTAAATTTGTAAGTTGAGTGCAGTTACTCAAACCTAATCCAATATTTTATGCTCCTATATCACCGATATTATTTTCCCTTTTCAAATATCATAAATAAATAAATTTATTAAATATTTAAATTATTTTTAAATTTATCAAAATATATAATATGATTAAAACTTTTTTAAGTTATCAATAAATAAATTAAAAATTAATTTACATAATACTAAAACTGAGACTAGTAAGCAATTTGTAATTACTAAAAGCTGCACCGATAGCAGAAGCTCCATCGTCTTCAATTTAATTTGAGCTTTTATAATTGAAAATAACGTTTTATTAAAAATTAATGAATGATATTTAATATATATTTTAAGTTAGTTTAATTTATGTTTGAATAAATATTTTTAGATAATTAATTATTTGAAATAATAATAAATAAATTTACTCTATCTAAAATTCTAAATTTGTAAGCTGAGTGCAGTTACTCAAACCTAACCCAATATTTTATGCTCCTTTGTCACCGATTTCATTTTCCCTTTTCAAAAAATATAAATCAATTTAAATAAAAAAATATTTATTTTACGAAAAATTCAAATCTAGATTAGTAAGGAATTTGCAGTTAGCAAGTGCTGTACTTATAGCAGAAGCTCCATTATCCCCAATTTAATTCTAGCTTTTTATAAATTAAAATCAAGTTTAATTAAAAAAAAAAGAAATTAAAAAATTTTAAATTAAAATAGTTCAGGTTGAATAAATAGCTTTGTCATTATTTTTAAAAAATAATAAATTCACCAAATCCAAATTTTTAAGTTTGTTAGTTGAATGCAATTACTCAAGCCTAATCCAATATCTTATGCTCCTTAATCTCCAATTTTATTTCCACTTTTCATATAAAATAAACTAATTATTTAAATATATTTTGGAATTTAATTCAAAATAAAAAACAAACATAATTAAACACTTTAAGTTATCTATGAATAAACATAAAATTAATTTGACTAAATATTATTTAATTTTTTCAGTAATAAAAAAAATGATATTTACTCCATTCCAATATCTAAATTCTTAAGTTGGTTGCATTTACTTAAGCCTTAACCAATGCTTAATGCTCCTTTATCACCGATTTTGTTTTACCTTTTCAAACAAAGTAAATCAAATTGTTAATTAATTATTTTCAAAATAATATCAAAAATAAAAATTTAATTAACTTTTTTTAATCAAAGTTAGAAAATTAATTAAAATTACCTCAGACAAAATTTTAAATTAATAAGTAACTGTAAGTTGCTTAATGCAGTTCCAAAAGAATATGCTCCTTCTTCCCCAATTTCATTGTTACTTTCATTATAGTAAATCATATGTTAATAAATTAATTTATTTATTAACTTAAAATTTTAAAAAATATATACCAAAAATATAAAAAATATGAACTAATTAACTAACTAACTAACTAACTAAAATCTTTCAGTTTTTAAAAAATGAAAATCAAAATTACCAAAGCACAAGTTTTGAATTTATAAGTAATTTACAGCTACCTAGTGCTGCAAAAATAGCAGATGCTCCTTCCTCTCCAATTTAATTGTTGCTAATAAATACAAATCAATGATAACTTAAAAAATAGTAAGGATTAAAAATTAAAAATTTTATTAAATTATCTACAATTAATTTAAATTTATTAAAAAAATTAAAATTAGTTACGAGAAGTTAATATCTAGATCAGTCAACATTTTACAGCTATATAATGTTTTACTAATAGAAAATGCACCTTCTTTTCCAAATAAATTTGCACTTTTTAAATTTTTTATTTACAATTAAGTATAAAATTATTTACATAAAAAAATTTTAATTTATAAATAATAATCAATTAAATTTACGCTGTGTTTAAAGTTAAAGCTGTGAGTTTATCACAACTGCTAATACCTTCTGCAATGCTCGATATGCCTCTGTCACCCAATTTATTATCCCTTTCAAAATAAATATTTTTAATAAATAATTGCTATTTGAAACAAAGCAATAAATATAAATGAATATGTTTAAAAAAATTAAAATAATATTACCAAAGCTACAGATTTAAGTTAGTAAGTGTTTTGCATCTACATAATGCTGTATAAATCCAAATTGCACCTTAATCTCCAATTTAATTTCCACTTTTATTAAAAAACATTATTTAAAATAATTTAGTACAAATAATGAAAAATTTTAATGAGTTTTCAACTATGAACTTAATTATAAATAAATTAAAAAAAGAATAAATACTCTAAATTTAATTGTAAACTGTTAAGATTAATTAGATTTCTCATAGTTTCTTCTAATAGAATATTTCCTTATGCTTAAATTTGTTATAATCTTTCAAATTAAAAAATAAATAATCAATTAGATATCAATCAATCAATAATTCAATTTTACCTAAGTTTCTTAACAGTTGATTTGTTAAAAATATGCTTGAAAAACAAAATTTGGGCAAATATTTAATCATTGCTATTTAAATAAAATAAAATTATCTCATTTTTAATTTATTTAAATTTTTTAATTAGAAAAAAGATATAGATTGATAAATTAATATCTTATTTAACATAATTTAAAAAGTGAGATTCAAACTTTTAGCTTTTTTAAACGGTAGAAATAAATAAAGAAATAACTATGTTTTTAGATAATATTATAATTTATTAAACAATTTGTTGGCATTATTAAAGATTTATTAACATATACATTATATTTACCTCTTATTATTAGCATCAACTAAATTTTTTATTTATCTTTAATTAAAAAATTCTGCATATTATTATTTTATCTTATCATCTGAAATAGTTTCCTTACTAAATGTTTTATTAAGAGCAAAAAAAATGATTAATTATGAAATTAAAGAAATTAAAGTGAAATTATTACTTAAGATTTAATATTAAAGATTCTAATTTTTCACATTATCCTAAAGAAGTGTTAAGCTAAGCAATTTATTCATTACTAAGATTACAATTTCTATTTATTTTATAAATAGTAACAAAAGATTTAATTTAAGAATAAATTAATTATTGAATGAGAAATATTAAATTAATTTTATTAATTCTTAATTTTGTAAATTCATAAAAAATAGAAAAAGTTTGTTTTAAAATATTTATTTGAATTAAAAAAAATATTGTTTTTAAAAATTTATATTTAAATATGAATGAATAAATTTTTATAAGTAATTCTTACTTTAACTGTAAGTCAATATGAGTAAGAGCTTTCAAGTTTGATTTCATTAACTGTTTATTTAAAAAAAATATTTTATAATATTAAATAAAAGTAATAAAGATCGATACATCTTCTAGATTAGTAAAAGAGTTATCCTGTTATTTCATTTTTTTATTTTTATTTTCCATTAAAATTTTATAATTATTAATTTATTAATTAATTTTTATCAGAAATAATAATTTTGATTAATTCAAAAAATTTTTGATTATCTTTTTTAAATAAGAAAATATGTAATTGGAGCAATTTTTAGTTTATCAGATTTCAAATGAAACCTATCGCACTAATTATTCTCCAACAAACATTTTACATTTATGGCTAAATTTTTAAACATTTTAAAAAATTAAAATATACTTACTTACTGTAGATTATCTTATTTTCTCACACTATATAAAGTGTTATTTTGTGTTTATGTTAATCAATTTAAAGTTATGTGAGTAATTTTTTTATGGAATTAATAAAATTATTGAATTTCTATTTAACTTTCTTTATATCATTTAGAAATTTAATTTAAAAGTGTTAAAAAAATGATATTTGGAATTTTGTTTAAACTAAATTATTATCTTAAGTAAATATGGATTGAAATTGATGAAGTTAAATCATATAAATTTTAAAATATAACTAATTTAAGAGACTAAAAGATTAAAAAAGTAAATTAATTTTGTTATTTATTTTTTACAAATGTCTAATAAAGTAGATATAAAAGAAAAATTTTATTATGTAAAGAGCATACATAAAATATTTGTATTTTAGTTTTACTGATAAGTAAATTATGACACTAAATATATTGATTTTCAGAAAACAGTAGTATTAAATAAAAAAATATACAATCATTACATAACTATTATATTCTATCTCTTTTGTTATAAAAAATAAGTACTGTTATTAATAATTAAATAAATACTTAATTATTCATTTTAGTAAATTCAATCTACTTTTAATATAACTAATCTTTTTATTTTTTAAGCTAATCTTTTGATTTCTGATTTTGTTTTTCTTTGCTTAGATCTAATTTTATATATTTAAATTTATATTTTTAGATAAATTAATTGTTTTAGTTACTTATAAATATCTAATTTTAAAAAATGAAAAAGTAATTACGTTGTATAAAGAGTCAATAACTTTATATTTTTACAGTTGATAATATCACAGGATTTTAGAAACTTCTCATTAATACTTAAAAAAATATATTTTAATTATTATCTTAAAAAATTTAAGATTATTATTTTTAAATTTACTCTTAACCAAAAACTAAATGTGAAAGTTGAGAGCATTTACTCAAACCCAATCCAATATTTTATGCTCCTTTATCACCAATTTTGTTATTACTTTTAAAAAATTAGTTCATTCATGTTTTGAGATTTTAATCAAAAATATATTATATTTTCAATTTTTTAAGTTATCAATAAATAAATAAATAAATAAATATAAAATTAATTTACTGAATATATAAAGTGAGACTAGTAAGAAATTTGCAGTTACTAAGTGCTATACTGATAGCAGAAGCTCCATTATCCCCAATATAATTTGAGCTTTTATTATTGAAAATCATGATTAATTAAAAATTAAAGAAATGTGATATACATATGTTAAGTTTATTTAATTCAGTTTGAATAATAAATAAGCTTTTACATAATTAATTATTTTAAACAATAATAAATAAGATAACTTTACTTTATCCAAAATTTTAAATTTGTAAGTTGAGTGCAGTTACTCAAACCTAAACCAATATTTTATGCTCCTTTATAACAGATTTGGTTATTACTTTTTAAAAATTAGTTCATTCATTATTTACATTTGTTTTGAGATTTAAATCAAAAATATATAATAATTTCAATTTTTTTAAGTTATTAATAAATAAAAAAAATTATTTTACACAATAGCAAAATCTAGATAGGTAAGGAATTTACAGTTACCAAATGCTGTACCGATAGTAGAAGCTCCATCATCCCCGATTTAATTTGAACTTTTACAAAATGAAAATCACATTTAATTAAAAATTAAAGATATTTATTTTATAAATTTTAAGTTTATTTTATTCAGTTTGCTTTTACATAATAATAAATAAAATAAATTTACTTTATCCTAAATTCTAAATTTGTAAGTTGATTGCAGTTACTCAAACCTAATCCAATTTTTTATGCTCCTTTATCACCAATATCATTTTACCTTTTCAAATAAAATAAATCAATTTATTAAATATTTTAATTAATTATTTTGAGATCTAAATTAAAATATATAAAATGATTTAAACTTTTTTAAGCTATTAATAAATTAAATTAAAAATTGATTTTACGAAATATTAAAAAGAAGTTTAATAAGCAATTTGCAATTACTAAGTGCTGTACCGATAGCAGAAGCTCCATCATCTCCAATTTTATTTCCACTTTTATAATTCAAAATCAAGTTTAATAAAAAATTAAAAACATTTAATATATATTTTAAGTTTAAATAAAAAGATTTTACATAATTAATTATTTTAAATAGTAATAAATAAATAAATAAATAAATAAATAAAATAAATTTACTTTATCCAAAATTTTAAATTTGAAAGTTGAGTGCAGTTACTCAAACCTAATCCAATATTTTATGCTCCTTTATCACCAATTTTATTTCTCCTTTTCAAATAATACAAATCAATTTATTAACTATTTTAATTGTTTTGAAATTGAAATCAAAATATATAGAATGATTAAAACTTTTTTAAGAAATTGATTTTACGAAATATTAAAACGAAGATTAGTAAGCAATTTGCAATTACTAAGCGCTGTGCCAATAGCAGAAGCTCCATCATCTCCAATTTAATTTTCACTTTTATAATTGAAAATCATGTTTAATTAAAAATTAAAGACATTTAATTTTTTTTTTAAGTTTATTTAATTTAAGTTAAATGAAAAACTTTTACTAAATTAATTATTTTAAATAATAACAAATATTGTAAATCCCAAATTCCCCCCCCCCACCCCCCCCTAATACATTTATCAAAAATTACAAATAAAGAAATAGGGGGGGGGGGGGGGATTTGGAATTTGCATTAAATAAAATAAATTTACTTAATCCAAAATTTTAAATTTGAAAGTTGAGTGCAGTTACTCAAACCTAATCCAATATTTTATGCTCCTTTATCACTGATTTTATTTTCTCTTTTCAAATATCAAAAATAAATAAATTTATTAACTTTTTAAATTATTTTTAAATTTATCAAAATATATAAAATGATTAAAACTTTTTAAGTTATGAATAAATAAATATAAAATTAATTTACATAATAATAAAAATGAGACTAGTAAGCAATTTACAATTACTAAGTGCTGCACCGATAGCAGAAGCTCCATCATCTCCAATTTGATTTGAGCTTTTATAATTGAAAATAAAATTTAATTAAAAATTAAATACATTTAATAAATATTTTAAATTTACTTAATTTAAGTTTAAATAAAAAGCTTTTACATAATTAATTAATAAATTATTTGAAATAATAATAAATAAATAAATAAAATAAATAAATTTACTGTATGACAAATTTTAAATTTGTAAGTTGAGTGCAGTTACTCAAACCTAATCCAATATTTTATGCTCCTTTAACACCGATTTTATTCTGCCTTTTCAAATAACATAAATAAATAAATTTATTAACTATTTTAATTAATTGTTTTGACATCTAAATAAAAACCAAAATAAAAATTTAAACATTTTTAGGTTATAAATTAATAAAAAAAATTATTTTACGCAATACAAAAAGCGAGATTAGTAAGAAATTTAAAATTAGCAAGTGCTATACCGATAGTAGAAGCACCATCATCTCCAATTTAATTTGAACTTTTATAAAGGAAAATCAGGTTTAATTATAATTAAATATATTTATTTTATAAATTTTAAGTTTATTTAATTCAGTTTGAGTAATAAATAAGCTTTTACATAATAATAAATAAAATATATTTACTTTATCCATAATTATAAATTTGTAAGTTGAGTGCAGTTACTCAAACCTAATCCAATATTTTATGCTCCTTTATCACCAATTTTATTTTCCCTATTCAAATAAAATAAATCAATCAATTTATTAAATTTTTTAATTAATTATTTTGACATCTAAATCAAAATATATATAATAATTAAAAATTGTTAAGTTATCAATAAATAAATAAAAAAATTATTTTACGTAATATTAAAATAAAGATTAGTAAGTAATTTGCAATTACTAATTGCTGTACCGATGACAGAAGCTCCATCATCTCCAATTTAATTTTCTCTTTTATCAGTTAAAATTATGATTAATTACAAATTAATGACATTTATTTTAAAAATTTTAAGTTTATTTAGTTCTGTTTTAATAAAAAGCTTTTATATTATTATTTTAAAGAGTATTAAATAATAAAAATTACCCTATGATAAATTCTAAATTTGTAAGTTAAGTGCAGTTACTCAAACCTAATCCTATATTTTATGCTCCTTTATCACCAATATCATTTTCGCTTTTCAAATAACATAAATCAGTTTATTAATTAATTATTTAGACATTTAAATCAAAATATATACTATAATTTAAACATTTAAAAAAAAAATATATTATTTTACTAACTATGAAAAACGAGATCAGTAAGGAATTTACAGTTACCAAGTGCTGTACCAATAGTAGAAGCTCCATCATCTCCAAATTAATTTGAGCTTTAATAAATGAAAATAAAATTTAATTAAAAATTAAAGACATTTATTTTATAAATTTTAAGATTATTTAATTCAGCTTGAATAATAAATATGCTTCTACATAATTTATTATTTTAAATTATAATAAATAAAATAACTTTACTCTATCCAAAACTCTAAATTTATAAGTTGAGTGCAGTTACTCAAACCTAATCCAATATTATATGCTCCTTTATCGCCGATTTTATTATACCTTTTCAAATATCATAAAAAAATAAATTTATTAATTTTTTAAATTATTTTTAAATTTATCAAAATATATAAAATGATTAAAACTTTTTTAAGTTATAAATAAATAAAAATAAAATTAATTTACATTATACTAAAACTGAGACTAGTAAGTAATTTGCAATTACTAAGTGCTGCACTGATAGCAGAAACTCCATCATCTCCAATTTAATTTGAGCTTTTTTTATTGAAAATAATGTTTAATTAAAAATTAAAGACATTTAATATATATTATAATTTAAGTTTGAAAAAAAACATTTATATAATATATTATTTTAAATAATAATAAATAAATAAATTTACTCTATCTAAAATTCTAAATTTGTAAGTTGAGTGTAGTTACTGAAACCTAATCCAATATTTTATGCTCCTTTGTCACCGATTTTATTTTCCCTTTTCAAAAAATATAAATCAATTTAAATAAAAAAATATTTATTTTACGAAAAATTCAAATCTAGATTAGTAAGGAATTTGCAGTTAGCAAGTGCTGTACTTATAGCAGAAGCTCCATCATCCCCAATTTAATTCTAGCTTTTTATAAATTAAAATCGCGTTTAATTAAAAAAAAGGACATCAAAATATTTTAAATTAAAATAATTCAGGTTGAATAAATAATTTTGTCATAATTTTTAAAAAATAATAAATTCACCATATCCAAATTTTTAAGTTTGTTAGTTGAATGCAATTACTCAAGCCTAATCCAATATCTTATGCTCCTTAATCTCCAATTTTATTTCCACTTTTCATATAAAATAAACTAATTATTTAAATATATTTTGGAATTTAATTCAAAATAGAAAACATAATTAAACATTTTAAGTTATCTATGAATAAACAAAAAATTAATTTGACTAAATATTATTTAATTTTTTAGTAATAAAAAAAATGATATTTACTCCATTCCAATATCTAAATTCGTAAGTTGGTTACATTTACTTAAGCCTAAACCAATGCTTAATGCTCCTTTATCACCGATTTTGTTTTACCTTTTCAAACAAAGTAAATCAAATTATTAATTAGTTAATTAATTAATTAATATTTTCAATAATCTCAAAAATAAATATTTAGTTAACTTTTTTTAATCAAAGTTAGAAAATAAATTAATTAAAATTACCTTAGACAAAATTTTAAATTAATAAGTAACTGTAAGTTACTTAATGCAGTTCCAAAAGAATATGATCCTTCATCCCCAATTTAATTGTTACTTTCATTATAGAAAATCATATGTTAATAAATTAATTAACTTGCTAATTTAAAATTTTTAAATAATAAATACCAAAAATATAAAAAATATTGACTAACTAACTAACATCTTTTAGTTTTTAAAAAATGAAAAATCAAAATTACTCAAGCACAAATTTTGAATTCATAAGTAATTTACAGGTACTTAGTGCTACAAAAATAGCAGTTGCTCCTTCCTCTCCAATTTAATTGTTGCTAATAAGAGATAGAATTGTATATAAATACAAATTAATGACAACTTAAAAAATAGTAAGGATTAAAAATTAAAAATTTTATTAAATTGTCTACAATTAATTTAAATTTATTAAAAAAATTAAAATTAGTTACGAGAGGTTAATATCTAGATCAGTCAACATTCTACAGCGATCTAATGCTTTACTAATAGAAAATGCACCTTCTTTTCCAAATAAATTTGCACTTTTAAAAATTTTTATTTACAATTAGGTATAAAATTATTTACATAAAAAAATTTTAATTTAATAAAATTTACGCTGTGTTTAAAGTTAAAGCTGTGAGTTTATCACAACTGCTAATACCTTCTGCAATGCTCGATATGCCTCTTTCACCCAATTTATTATCCCTTTCAAAATAAATATTTTAATAAATAATTGCTATTTGAAACAAAGCAATAAATATAAATGAATATGTTTAAAATAATTAAAATAATATTACCAAAGCTACAGATTTAAGTTAGTAAGTGTTTTGCATCTACATAATACTGTATAAATCCAAATTGTACCTTCATCTCCAATTTAATTTCCACTTTTATTATAAATTAAAATTTAATACAATACAGTACAAATTATGAAAAATTTTAATGAGTTTTCAGCTATTTACTTAATTATAAATAAATTAAAAAAAGAATAAATACTCTAAATTTAATTGTAAACTGTTAAGATTAATTAGATTGCTCATAGTTTCTTCTAATAGAATATTTCCTTATGCTTAAATTTCTTATAATCTTTAAAATTTAACAATAATTCGATATCAATCAATCAATAATTCAATTTTACCTAGGCTTCTTAATAGTTGATCCGTTAAAAATATGCTTGAAAAATAAAATTTGAGCATATATTTAATCATTGCTATTTAAATAAAATAAAATTATCTCATTTTTAATTTATTTATATTTTTAAATTAGAAAAAAGATATAGATGGATAGATTAATTAATATTTTATTTAGCATAATTTAAAAAGTAAGGTTCAAACTTTTAGCTTTTTTAAATGGTAGAAATAAATAAAGAAATAACTATGGTTTTAGATAATATTATAATTTATTAAACAATTTGTTGGTAATATTAAAGATTTATTAACATACACATTATATTTACCTCATATTATTAGCACCAACTAAATTCCTTATTTATCTTTAATTAATAAAGTCTGCATATTATTTATTTATTTTATCATCTGAAATAGTTTCCTTACTAAATGTTTTATTAAGAGCAAAAAAAAATGATTAATTATGAAATTAAAGAAAATAAAGTGAAATTATTACTTAAGATTTAATATTAAAGATTCTAATTTTTCACATTATCCTAAAGAAGTGTTAAGCTAAGCAATTTATTCATTACTAAGATTACAATTTCTATTTATTTTATAAATAGTAACAAAAGAATTTAATTTAAGAATAAATTAATTATTGAATGAAAAATATTAAATTAATTTTATTAATTCTTAATTTTGTAAATTCATAAAAATAGAAAAAGTTTGTTTTAAAATATTTTGAATTAAAAAAAATATTGTTTTTAAAAATTTATATTTAAATATGAATGAATAAATTTTTATAAGTAATTCTTACTTTAACTGTAAGTCAATAAGAGTTAGAGCTTTCAAGCTTGATCTCATTAACTATTTATTTAAAAAAAATATTTTATAATATTAAATAAAAGTAATAAGGATAGATACATCTTCTAGATTAATAAAAGAGTTATTCTGTTACTTCATTTTTTTATTTTTATTTGCCTTTAAAATTTTTTGATTATTAATTTATTAATTAATTAATTAATTAATTATTATTATCTGAAATTACCTTTCTATCCTAATTTATATTAAAGACACATGATATGCTTTAGCTTTCTCACTGTTTTCCTTTCATTCTTATCTGTTTTTCTGATGAAATAAAAAATAATTAAGTATTTTCTATTTTAATATCTAATTTAGATATTATCTAATAAATTCTTACTTCTTACCTCATATTTACTTTGAGCTTTAATTAATTAATTGTTAAGGAAAGAGATGGATGAATGAATGAATAAAATAATATAAATTTATTATAAAAAATAAAACAATCTTCAAAATGCATTAATAAATAAAAAAATTACTTAATCTATTTAAAAAATTTAATATTCTACCTTTTGAAGAAATTAATATTGCTTACTAGCATTTATTAATGATCTAAAGAATTTTATTGAGATAAATTTATCTAAATTATATATTTGTTAATTACATTGCTGTCAATTACAATTTTTTGTAAAATTTTTGATTCATAACTTATCAGAATTTTGATGAAGGTAAAATCTAATTTGATCTCAAAAAGGAATGATTTTTGCTTTTTTAAAAAACATTTGATTAAATTTGCAATTTTTTTAATCAAACAAGCAAACAAAAGTGCTTCTAAATTAAATCAAGCAAGCAAACAAGCACTATCTATTTATTTGAAATATTTATGTATGAATAAAAATATTTCCATTTTTTATTTGATTCACTAATTGTTAACAAAAATAAATATAAAATTTTTCATAAAGATACTAAAATATAATTTTTATAAATTATTTCTAAATTATCAAAATTAGAATAAATTTAAATAAATCAACATTTAATAAAGCTAATTTATTTTAAATTGCGCTGAACAACCATTTATTGGTAATTTTGCGCACAATTTTTTTAACTTAGTTCGGGGGGGATGAAGTATATAGGCGACTCCATTAATTTAAATAAAAATAATAAGTGATCAAAAAAATAAAAATATGCAATAAGTAAATATATTAGGTCTTAATTAATTAGGATTTAGGGTATATAGTAAAGTGATATTAATTAATAAAAAAATAAGTAATTAATTAATTATTGTCTTTAGATAATAAAAAAAAAATAAAATGATTTAGAAATAAAAATAGAAATATAATTAAATAGAAGAAGTAACTAAATTAACTATATTTATTTTAAATAAAAATTATTAACTTAAAATTAAAAAGTTTATTAACTCTTCATTGATTGATCATGTTGATCTTACTCTCAATTTCATGTATATGCTGCATTCATATCAATAAATATATTTTAGTACATTATACTTAAAATCTTCCCTCACCTTATAACTAATAGGTTCAATAATATTAATGATGAAAAAATTTGTGAGATAGGAAGCTCAATATAATAATGCTCAAATCTAGAAGTTTTACTTCTCAAAATTGAGTAAGAATCTTTATTTTTTTGTAGTTAATAACCCTACTAATTTATTAATTTTACAAATTAGTTTTTTAAATTACATAAAATCACATTCTTAATTTGATTTGATCATGAACAAACAAACAAATCAAGAGCTTAAAATTTTATTACAAAAATAAATTAAATTTTTATATTATAATAGATATAATAAGATTAGCTTAAAAGGAGCATCTGAATTAGGAATTTGTTTATCAAAATGCAAAAAAATAAAATCTTTGATTGTAGATCTAGAGTGAATTTTTTTCTAATATTTATTGAAATTTAGACTTTATTTTATCAAATTAGTTATAAATTTACTAATTAGTTTTGTTAAAAAATATATTTATTTATTCAATTAATTTTTAAATATTTAAGAAACAATAAAATAGGAGTTCAGGGTATTTCTAATTTTATTGCTAATCTTCAAAGCTTAGATTATTTATCTTTTTTGCAGCTTAATCTCTTGTATGAAAAATTAAAATAATTTATCTATTTACAAATAAAAGAAATTTTTTATTAAAACATATGAATAAGATATTTTTATAAATCAGTACTAAAAAAACTAAAAATATTCTGGCACTAAAAAAAAAAATTTTAAATAAATAAATAATTAATTATTTTTTTTTTTAATTCGATTTTACTAACTTTTGTGTTATATAAAAAAGGAAAAGTAATATTGGTGATTAAGGGCTATATAATTTAGCATAAAATTTAGTGAAATTTCATAGTCTAAATACTTTAATACTTAATCTTGAGTATATTTTTTATCATATTTAAAAAGCTAATAATATTGAGAATTCAATTTTATTCTATAATATTTTAGTGACAGTAAAATATCTAATTATGGAATTTCTGGATTCCAAAATCTAATCAATATTTACAAAATAATCTTAAGACTAAAGTAAAAATAATAAAAAATTTATTTTTGAAAAAAGGTTATTTTAACTTAGATTTATTTGTTAATTAATTTTAATAGTAATAACACTATTGGAAGCAATAATAAAGTAGAACTGTTACCATCAACTTTCTCCAACTGTGAAAATCTGAAATATATCTAACTTGGTATTAAGTAATCAATATATTTAATATAAATAAAAGTAATTTCAAAAATAATTACTTTCATTTTAGACACAATAGTATTTTTGATGAGGGCTTATTAGGGCTAGGCCATGCTTTAGCTAATTGTGTTAATCTCCGTACTTTAGATATAGATTTATCGTAAATATTAAATACCTCATCTTAAGCTTCAATTTTTATAACTAATAAATCTTTTATAACCTTTAAAGCCTAAATCAAATATCCGATGCAGGTCTAACTGGTTTCAGCAATCTTTTGGCAAAATGCCATAATATTTCCACTTTCAATTTAAATTTGACGTAAACTAACTACTTTTATTTCACTTTCAACTTTCAGAAGACTTTATCAAATTAATTACTTTTATCATTTAAGATAAAATAATTTAGTGGGATAAGGAGTATCTAACTTAGGTTTAGCTTTAGAAAAAATGAGTTTTATTTAAAACTTAGAAATTTTTTTAGGGTAAATTTATTAATTATTTTTTTACTAATTTAATATTTATATTTAAATTATCTTTTAATAGCATTAAAATCATTACATTTTATAATAAAGGTCGAACAATATTAATAATTAAGCCTTACTATAATTTTGCAATTCTTTACGTAAATGCAAACAGCTCCTAAGTTTATAACTTGATCTATCGTAAAGTTCTTTACATATTATTTTAGTTTATAAAACAATTAAAGATGAATTTTTTTTTTATTTTAATCAATTTATTAATCATTTTATTTAAAAATTAAGATACAATGACCATGAAAGAGAATCAGATTTTAAATCAGAACTTTTTAAAATAAAGAAATTAATTAAATTTAGGCTTTTTTTTAATTATTGAATAATCAAAATATAACTAAAATTCTACCATAATTTTAATTCAAAATTATATGTAAAAAAGTTTTACTATTTCAAATATTTTTTCTAAAACTATTTGAAAATGAATATTTAAAATAAATTTCGAATTATAAGATATTAGAAAGAGTTATGGTATTTTATATTCATATGAAAATTAAAAATAATAAACTCATAAAAAATATTACTTTTGTTTGTTTGTTTATTTATTTATTTGTTTATTTGTTTGTTTAATATTTATTTAAAAATATAAAACAAGGAATAAGTGATATTATTTAATTTAATATAAAAATTTTTGTACAAATGTATCTATTAATACCTAAAAAATTCAGTTAAGTCATTAATATAAAATAATTAGAAGAAACCAAGCAAAATTTTAATAAATAAAATTTTATATTTTAACTTTCTTTTTAAAATATGTATTTAAATTTATTTTATAATGAGCTTTTTATTATCTAATTGATAATTTATGCAATATTTCACTTTTATAGTTTGTGATTTTAAACATCCATATTTGAATTAAATTAGATATTTTTAAGAAAAAAATATTTCTGTTGCTTTGAGTAATATATAAGCTATTAAATATAAGAAAGATTTTGGAAGTAATTACATTTATTATTTAATTAGAGAAAGATATTCGCTAAACAGTGATTCAAGCATATCTTTAATTAATTTCTAAAAACCAGTAAAACTAATAAAGTAAGAATTTTTAATTAATTAATTAATTTAGCCTGAATTTATTCATAGTTAGTCATTTAAAATGTAAGGTTATCCAAAAACACTCTATTAAAAACAAAATCAAAATATTTAAATCTGTATTCATTAAAATAGAATTTTATATTAAAATATGAATGAAAAAATACTGATTTAATTTTTGATGGTTTGTTTCTATATTTTAAAATTTGATGAGTTCAAAGACATTCAATTAAAAACGAAAGTAAAATATTTAAATTTCTATTCATTAAAATAAAATTTTGTATTAAAGCGTGAAGTAAAATATGACAGCAACAAATTAAATTTAATCATCATATTTGGTGATAGTGGCTTTAATAATGTAATAAAATAACAAAAATTTAGTTTGTTTTGACATTTAAAGATGTGTATTTTTTTAATTAAATCCAACTTTTAAAAAAAATAATTTAAATAAAAATTAATATTTAATTTGCTTTTTGATATATTGATAAAAATAAAATTTTTTTTTATATGTTTGTTTCTAAAGCTTTGGTTCTTTTTTTAAAATTCAGATATTGAAGAGAAAAATATGTAAAAATGCTTTTAAAAACAATCATAATGAATTAGATCTAATTAATAGTGGAAAAATAAATAATTAATAACGTATTTGACTTTTTTCTGATATTTTATTTTTTTCTGAATTAAGTTCTGTCAAATATACAAATTAAACCAGTAACTTGCTTTTTATTACCATAATTTACCTATTTGAGCAAACTCTTTTCAAGTGTTAACAACTTTTTAGGCTCAAAGTAAATAATTAACTTTTAACGTCAATTAAATTATTTTTCGCTATAAATTACAAGAAAAACACTTGAATTTAAATCAAATTATTAATGACCATCTTCCTTGATAAAAATACTACAAACAAATAAAAAACTAAAATGCTAAAAATTGACAGTGTTAACTAACTATGATCAATCAATAAAATGATTATAAAAATATATTTTATCTTAGTTCTTTGTTAATTATATATTTTTAAATACTTCATTTTAAAGAAATAGAGGATAATATTTCTAATAAAATCTGTTAAATTTCTATTTGTAGTTAATTTCTAGTAACTCTATTGATAAGCTAATTAATTAATTACCTCTTTTTTAAATCAAGTAATTTTCTTCTTTTAGCAAAATAATGGAAAATTTGTGCGCTATTTTAAATTTTTTTTGCATTAATCTAGCATGTTCTTGCTCATAATAAATCTTTACTAATTCCAAGATAGTAGATACTTTCTTCTCTATTTGTACAGATTGACCTAAATATATGAGATATTTTTTCATAAAAATGAATTAAAAAGCAAAAATTAATACCAAATTGTTATTTTATCTTGCAATTATTTATTAACCATTAAAAATTAGATTTAAATGTAGCTATTTCTTTATCATTTATCTATAAACAAATAATAAAAAATAAATCAAACAATCTAAATAAAAAATATGATGAAAAACAAATTAATTGTTTTAGCTTTACTTGCTATCTTCAGTTACTAAGTTTGCTGCTAAATACATGTTGAAACTTTGCATGAATTCAATAAATGGTCTGCAAAACACAATAAAGTATTTGATCCTGAATAGCTTAAATATAGGTTATCTATTTTCGCTGAAAATTATAAAAAAATCAAGGAGCACAACTATAACTCTTCTAATACCTTTTAACTTGGACTAAATGAATATGCTCATATGACTTCCTAAGAATTTGCTGAAGTCTTTCTTACTCCTTCAATTTCTAAAAGCTAATAAAAATAACCCAAACCAAAACCTTAGCCTTAACCACACCCTAACAATAGCACTAATACTACTGTAACAATTACTCCTATTGATTGGAGAAATAAAGGAGCTGTAACTAGTGTGAAGAGATAAGGTAAATGTGGGTCATGCTGGAGTTTCTCTGCTGCAGGTCTTATGGAAGCATTTTAATACTTTAAGACTGGTAATTTGATTGATCTTTCTGAATAATAGCTTGTTGACTGCGACAATTCATCTTTTGATAAATCCTACTACTCTAATGGATGTAACGGAGGTTATCCATAGGAAGCTGTTGAATATGCATCTAAATATGGTATTGTTCCATTAACTGATTATCCATATGTTAAATAATAACAACCATGTGCAATAAAATCACCAACAACTAACGGTTACTACCCAAAAGGTGTTAAATTTTTAGATGGCACCGCCAAAGGTATCTTGTAAGGTTTAAAAAGCTCTCCTGTCTCTGTCTTAGTAGATGCAAGTAATTGGCATTTATATTAATCAGGAATTTTTAATAATTGCTAAAATCCTAATATAAATCATGCTGTTTTGGCTGTCGGAAACGATGAATAAGGAAATTACATCATTAAAAACTCATGGGGTACAACCTGGGGTGTAAATGGATATATGATTCTTTAAGCTGGTGAAACTTGCGCTGTTGACTATCTACCAATCACAGTATAATTGTGAATGACTTAAATTATATATTAAAATAAATTAGAATATTAAGATTTACATTAAATATTTAGTACATTATATATACCTATCTTTATACCTTTTTTACATTTTTAGAAATTATTTTTTTAAATTTGATAATATTTCATAGAATTTTGTATTAAAATATGAAGTAAAATATGGCCGCAACAAGTTAAATTTAATAATCATAGTTGGTGATTGTGATTTTTAATAATATAATAAAATAGCAAAAATTTAGTTTTATTTTAACATTTAAAGATGTTTATTTTTATAATTAAATCTTAGTTTTAAAAAATATATTTCAAATAAAAATTAATATTTAACTTGTTTTTGATATATTGATAAATTTAAAATATTTTTTTATAAGTTTATTTCTAAAGTTTAGATTGTTTTTTTTAAATTCAGATATTGTAGAGAAAAAGATATAAAAATGCTTTAAAAAACAAACATAATGAATTAGATTTGAATAAGAGTGGAAAAATAATGAATAATGTATTTGATTTTTTTCTGAATTAAGTTCTGTTAAATATAAAAATTAAACCAGTAATTTGCTTTTTATAACCTAATTTATCTATTTAAGCAAACTCTCTTTCAAGTGTTAACAAATTTTTAGGCTCAAAGTAATTAATTAAATTTTAGCGTCAATTAAATTATTTTTAGCCATAAATTACAAGAAAAACACTTGAATTTAAATCCAATTATTAATAGCCATCTTCCTTTATAAAAATACTACAAAGAAATAAAAAACCAAAATGCTAAAAATTTACTGTGTTAACTAATCAGCATCAATCAATAAAATTATTATAAACTCATTTTTTATCTTAGTTTTTCTTAAAAATATGCTATTAAGTGCTTTATCACTTTTAAAGAAATAGAGGATAATATTTCAAATAAAATCTGTTAAAATTCTATTAGTAGTTAATTTCTAGTAACTCTATTGATAAGTTAATTAATTAATTACCTCTTTTTTAAATTAAGTCATTTTCTTCTTTTAGTCAAAATAGAAAATAAGTGAGCTATTTTAGTTAATATACTTAAATCTAACATATGCTAGCTCGTAGTAAATCTTTAACAATGCTGAGGGCAAATACTTTCTTCTCTATTTGTACTAATTGACCTAAATATATGAGATATTTTTTCATAATAATGAATTAAAAAACAAAAACTAATGCCAAATTGTTATTTTATCTTGTAATTATTTATTAACTATTAAAAATTAAATTTAAATGTATCTATTTCTTTATCATTTATCTATAAACAAATAATAAAAAATAAATCAAACAATCTAAATAAAAAAATATGATGAAAAACAAATTAATTGTTTTAGCTTTACTTGCTATCTTCAGTTACTAAGTTTGCTGCTAAATACATGTTGAAACTTTGCATGAATTCAATAAATGGTCTGCAAAACACAATAAAGTATTTGATCCTGAATAGCTTAAATATAGGTTATCTATTTTCGCTGAAAATTATAAAAAAATCAAGGAGCACAACTATAACTCTTCCAATACCTTTTAACTTGGACTAAATGAATATGCTCATATGACTTCCTAAGAATTTGCTGAAGTCTTTCTTACTCCTTCAATTTCTAAAAGCTAATAAAAATAACCCAAACCAAAACCTTAGCCTTAACCACACCCTAACAATAGCACTAATACTACTGTAACAATTACTCCTATTGATTGGAGAAATAAAGGAGCTGTAACTAGTGTGAAGAGATAAGGTAAATGTGGTTCATGCTGGAGTTTCTCTGCTGCAGGTCTTATGGAAGCATTTTAATACTTTAAGACTGGTAATTTGATTGATCTTTCTGAATAATAGCTTGTTGATTGTGACAATTCATCTTTTGATAAATCCTACTACTCTAATGGATGTAATGGAGGTTATCCATAGGAAGCCGTTGAATATGCATCTAAATATGGTATTGTTCCATTAACTGATTATCCATATGTTAAATAATAATAACCATGTGCAATAAAATCACCAACAACTAACGGTTACTACCCAAAAGGTGTTAAATTTTTAGATCGTTCAGCCCATGGTATCTTGTAAGGTTTAAAAAGCTCTCCTGTCTCTGTCTTAGTAGATGCAAGTAATTGGCATTTATATTAATCAGGAATTTTTAATAATTGCTAAAATCTTATTAACCACGCTGTTTTGGCTATCGGAAACGATGAATAAGGAAATTACATCATTAAAAACTCATGGGGTACAACCTGGGGTGTAAATGGATACATGATTCTTTAAGCTGGTGAAACTTGTGCTGTTGACTATCTACCAATCACAGTATAATTGTGAATGGCTTAAATTATATATTAAAATAAATTAGAATATTAAGATTTACATTAAATATTTAGTACATTATATATACCTATCCTTATACTTTTTTTACATTTTTAAAATTATTTTTTTAAATTTGATAACATTTCTTATTAAAATAGCAAATTGATATAATACCGATTTTTTAATTTTGGCAAATAGTAATAATCTATATTCAATTACTTACCTACCCTATTAGGAATTCCACCTAAATTTTAAAAAATGTATGCTTTTTTTGCAAGAATTATTAACCTCAAATAGGATCACTTAAAGTTTAAAAAAATAATCAAATATTTAGTCAAGGATATGAACCAAATGAATTAAAAAAGATTATTATTTAAAAATTTTTAGTAAGCTTTAATTAATTTAAAAAACGTTCAAACTACTTTATAAGATAGACTAGTGTTAAATTAGAATAAATGAGCAATATTATAAAAGTATTTGACATATTTTCAATGCCTTTTGCATTCAATTTAAAGGAAAAGGAATATAAAAGAAAGACATTAGTTGGAGGCATTATTTCTTTAGTTATTATTTCGATATCAGCTATTTATTTTGGCTACTTATGCTATCTTTATTTTAATAATTACATTAATCCAACTATTAATGAAACCTACCAAACAATTGATTACGACTTTTCTATGCCTATAAGTAATAATTAAATGGCTTTTTAAATCTTTATGTCAAATGGCTAGACCCTCGATTAATACTAGCAAACAGCTGGTGTGACTTATGCAATTCCTTTGGTAAATTATGTGTTTCCTGATTTTAATAATAACTCATAGTTAAAATAAACTCCTTTAAATATTATCAAATGCTCAGATGTTTCCTTAAATGGATTTTATTGCTTTGATTTTACTCCTATAAGTAACAATTAGAATCAAATGAATATAGGTTTTGATAAAAATTAAATTGGAAACTACAGATTTGAAATTAGCATCGCTTTATGTAACACTTAGCAGTTTATTTCTACTTATAATTGTGCAAATACTGCATAAATTTAAAGCGATTTTTTAAAAATAACAAATAAACTAACGCTAAAATTGACCACATAGAAATACAACACACAAACATAGCTTTATTAACAATTTACTAAAAAGGAACAAATATCAATCCAAGATACTTTAACAAATATTTTAAAAATTAATTTTTTAAAAACAAATTCTACCATCTAGTAGGGTTTTATTACTTAAAATAATCAATATCAAAATTATATATCTGATTATAATAAAGAAAATCTATACTTTACCTAATCTGCAGTTTAGTAGCAAAACAAAAACAATTTGAATTTGGTATCAATAATACAAATTTAAATTGGCAGCTATGAGTTAAAATAGAATATTCAATACCCATAATTCACATACATTCTTGCTTAATTTATGAGTGCATTTAATGTTATACTTGTTCTTGGAATTATTGCCTAAATTTCAGCTCAAAGCGAAATTATTTAAGACTTTGCAGAAATTTAATTTAAGTTTAACTTTAAGCACAATGCATGGAAATATTTAATATCTAAAAATGAGGGTAAAATTTAAGATGCATCCTTATCATAAAATTTAACAAAATTGCATTTTTAAATTTAAAATCTATCATTTAGGCAATATTTAGATAAATATTTAAATTTAAGCTTCTTTAAAAGGTAAAAATTAATTGCTTTATTTCTACTTTTATTATTAAACCTAATTGAATTTTTCAAATTTATTTATAAAAAATTAGGACAAAGCTATTATTAATGAATAAATTATTTGATAAAGGAGTTACTAAAAATCCATAAGAAAAGGTATTCTAAAAATTAATAGAGCAAGCTTCATAGCAGTTTAGTATTGTTGATCTTTAAAAAGAGTTAATGTAAATGAAAATAATTTTAAAATTACTTCTCTCACCTGAATAATATGCAGCTATTCAATTATGTGGTTACTTATTTAAAAATGAAAATCAAGATTTCAATCATGATTAATCAAATTAAAGATTAACAAACAATGAAAAGTAAAATTAATGTAATCATTTGAAACAAGACATAAAATAACAACAATAATAATAAGACAAGATAGTAAAAGAGTTACTAAGTTAGGAAGATATCAAAAATGAGCTGGTTAAACTGAAAGCTATTTAATAGCCGTAAGTTTAATTCGAGAATAAAGAAAAATAAGATTAAAAATCTTTATCAAAATAAGAAAATGGGTTTATATCAAACTAAATTATATAAGAAGACATTTTAAATGAAAGAAAAGAAATTAATTAAATAGAAAGTAATAAACTTTCTTTAAAGCTGCAAGATAAAGTTTATAAGAATAGTATCATTTATAAATAGAAGCAGGAATCACAAATCACTGATGATTATAATATCAATATCGATGATAATAAAATTGAATAGAGAAGTGAAAGTAGAATTGATAATCACTTAGAAATTATTGAATAGATAAATAATAATATGGAATAATTCTAAATATTCATCGAAAAGTTTTTAGATCAAAGAAACACAAAATCTGAAATAGATAAGAGAATTTTAAGTTGTATGGCAGGTATCCATAACTAAATTATAAATAAGCACCAATTGTTTTGAAAAATTAAACTGTAAAAATAACTTAAATTATTCTTTAAGATAAAAATTGTTAAAAATTACATGTTTTTTACTTGTAATAAAATCTTTGGTTTAAAATTTTCCTTACATGTATGGTATATAATATAATAAGCTAATGATTTACTATTTATATTTGTGTCTTGTTTTATTATAAATAAATTATGATAGAAAAAAAATATATTACTACCTAAAAATTATAATTTTTTTTGCTTTGCTTCTTCAATATCAAATTAATATCCTGCTTGATCTTAGTTTTAATTGATTAACACTTAATCAAATAATAATAAATATATAAATAAATTATTACAAATGAGCGAAATTTAATTTACTTAAATGGAGGTTGAAGACTCTAATTTTTATTAAAATAGCGAGGAAAACAAATCAACTTAAACATCAAGCCATTCTGATAATTAGCTAAGCCCTGAATTTTATGAAAGCTAAATAGAAAAAGATATTTAGAACAATAATGTTTATTAATAAAAGTTAATCCGATTGTAGAATAAATTAGAATGCAAAAGGACTAAAAAGAATTAAAAGTTGTTTGTAAGCATTCCTTTTCTTTTGAAATAGAATATTGGATATAAAGATTAGTTTACTATTTTTGGCGGGATTACAGTTCATGTAGGAAAAGAAATATATTTAGAGAGTTAGTATCAGAAAACTTCAATTGGAGATAATTTTAGGCAGCCTTTTGAATTATTATTTAATAAGGTTAATAGTAGGTACGATTGTCTTTACCAATCACAATAAAAAGGAAGGGTTGATTTTGATATGATCATAGATATGTGCTACAAAAAACAGTCTCAAGAATACAAGGAATTAGGAGATTTGCTTAGCTTTTACTAAAGAAATGTAAAAAAAGTGAAGGTTTTAGAAGAAAGAGTTCTTAAAATTAAGAAAGAGGAACTCTAAGAAATAGAAAGCGAATATTAATAGTTTGTAGCACATTGCAAATAGTTAATAGATAATAAAGGCTCGAATGAAATTTACAGATATTGTATTGGCAGGTTGAATTATGCAATGGGTGATATTGAAATATAATATTCTGGCTTTTCGCAAGGCTACTTGCATTTATTAGGAATAAATGGGGATATTTATCAGTAGCTATTTTTGAGAGGTAAACAAATTAGCCTTTAATCAAAAGATACACCGAAAGTAAGTCTTTCGCAGCAAGCAATTTTGCAAAGAATTGACTTTGATAATAAATCTGACCACTCTATGTAATACAAAATAAAAACAATTGATGGTTTTGAGATAACTATCAAAGAAAAATTAATTAAAATTGATAGCCCATTCACAGCTCATCAAATAACAAAAATAGATCATATTTGCTATATAGTAGATTGCGAGGTTGATGTAGATGATATTTTAAATTTGATACAATACAGAGAAAAGATAGTTGCTGAAAACAATTACAAATCATACGAAGACTACATGGCTTCCATCATGCATTAAAATCTTAATGATGTAGAATATTCTGTACTTTCTGAATATTTCTTATAAAAATATTACCCAGAGCAATATAAATATACTCTTTAAGAATAAAACGAAAACAATTAACAATAAAAATGAATTCTAATCATATAATCTTAATAAATTGATATATATAAATGACTAAAAAAAATACTTCAATCTATTCAAATATTTAATAATCATAACCAAAAAAAATTATACTTCAAATACAATTAAATAATTAAATTTCTTTAAATAAATATTTTTTCATATATAGTAGTAACTTATTAATTTTGCAAACCTAATTCCAATCATTTTTAAATTCATCTACAAAAATTTATTCAATTTTTGGGAACCCATAATTTTTGATTAAGAAATTGATAATATATAGTGTATTTTATATATATATATAATTTGATACAAAATTTATTGAAATTAATACAATAAAATGGATGATCTATCACATAATTAAATTTGATTAAAATTCAAAACAGTAAAAATTATCACTTAATTTTAAAAATTCTTTCGAGGAATATCTTTTGAAAAAATAGAGAGAATTAAAATAAGGAGAATTATGCATTAACTTGAGATAAAGTTGGTTAATAGTTAATTTATTTTCTTCTGTTAAAAATGTAAACAGTGAATAATTTTAATCAATTATTACTTCTTTTCTAAATGAATTGATAAATTTCGCAATGGAAAATATTGGCGAATAATAATAATTAACCGAAATAATTAAAATACTCGGGTAATTGTTTGGAATGACTTTTGTCAATCAACTAACTGAAAAACTTTGGGAAAATATTAAAGTTTTGAGATAACCAAATTTAACAAGATATTAAGAAAAACCTTTAGAAAAACCAAATAAAAAAATAAACCAAAATTTGGTAAATTGGTATCATAATTACAGAATGTAAATTGATCCTGCATTTTCAAGATTTGTAAAATTAATCAATTGATTAATCATCTTTATAAAAAATTGTTAAATATTTTAACAAAATGAAAATTTTATATTGTGAAAAATTACGATTATTATTATTACATATAAAAAATTTTAAAAAAGAAAAAAAAAGTTAAATGAGCAAACATAACGATACGTAAGGAAATTGGTAACCAGGTAAAAAAACACAAAGTAGAAATACCGATCTTTTTGATATCGCACTTCCCAGCGAAAACTATAAAAAAATTTAGATCAGGTAATCAGACAATAAATCTCTAGACAATGAATTTCTAGGCAATGAATCTCTAGATGAAGATTTTCTAGACGATGATTTTTTAGAAGATTATTCAGACTATAGTTTAAACCTTTAAATACAATCGTTTTAACAAATTTAATAATAGTAACAATAAGCTATGAAAGATCTGCAAAAATTTAATCTTCGTGAAGCAGAAAAAACCAGAGAAGATACTTTTTTAATTAGAAAAATAAGAGAATTTAAGAAAAGATGCGGAATTGCAGAAATTAGAGAAGAAGGATAAGAAGGATAAGAAGAATAAGAAGAGTAAAAACAATCTCAAGAAACATCATAGACGTATTAAATGTAATTGAAGCGCGGAGAAACAACAATTTTTCATCTCCCTTATTAATCAGCAGGTAAGAACACCGATCCTTTTGTGACAAATGTTGTCGACATAAATAAGGATTCTAGCATGATAGAAGTTGGTATTTATCCCAAAGATTATTCCATTGAACACCTTGATCCATTTTCGAAATTTTCTTACATGTATTTTTACAAATACTATTTTGATCAACTCTTTTTAGATAAAGAATTAATCTAATTAATCGATGGAGAACATTAAAAATTAATAAATGGTCAACTTTTGGAAGGCTAATTTTATGACTTGTTTAGTAGACATTTTCCAGAAAAAACTTGGGGATAAATTAAGGGCAAGTTATGGAATAAAAATAATTTTCTCTAAATTATTATGGATTATTTTGAACAATATGCACACTAATACGCACTAGCTCAGCATAATTGTTTTGCTAGATTGATTTCAAATAATCCAAATAATTAACAAGCAAAGGCTTTTATTTAAACAATAGAAACTGTTATGAAAATTAACGATTTTCTAGATTAAAGTTCAGAAGCTTAAGGTTTTGGCACAACTATTCAAAATTACTCTTCCAGCTTTCAGAAAAAGTTTGTTATTGGATCAAAAGATTAAATAGCTAACTTGTTAATAACAAAATAAAAATTATTGTGCGAAAGTATGATTAAATCTCAAAATAATTTGAAAGATTTTTTCAATCCATAATAAATTATGGAATAATATTACGAGATGTAATAACAACTTTTAGAAAATAAAAACAGAAAAGAAAATAATAGCAGATTTTAAAAACTCATTTACGACATAGGAAAAAGCAACGAATCTGTTCAAGTCGTCCAAGTTGGTTAATGCTATTATTCGAATGATGACATGCATATTTACAACGCAACAAATATGAAAATCGACATTAACGATCCAACCATTTTAAAAGATTTGATTGGAAATAAAAGTTCTTGGAAAAATATCCATCTTGTCACTGCGACAATAAGAGAGAAAAAACAATTCGTTAAATATGTTAAAGATTATTTCGAATCTTCAAAAACATTTAAGCAATATGATTGCGAAAAGATTTTCTATTGTTCAGAAATGGATAATAACAAATTCAACGAACTAATGAGCAGATCTAATCCTTTTACAGTAGAAGAACAAAGTTAAGACGAAAATGGTATTTTAATCAGAGAATACGAAGGAGAAAAAATAATAATTGTCAAAGACTCCACTATCAAAAGAAAAGGTATGATATTGAAATTGGAAGACAATAATTAAGAAAAATAAAAATTTGATGAGGCTAAATTTCCAAATTTTGATTAGCTATTATCTAATTGTTTAAATAAAAATACAACAATACGTTAAATAAAACAATTGACAAACCCATCAAGAATTATGAAATTGACTTATGCGAAAGTAGTTGATTATCATAACTTATTTTCTATTACCGATTCTCTGACTTCCAAGCAAGAAATGAATAACTTTGAAAATAAAAAATAAATGCAAGAAGAAGAATATTAACAAGGATTTGATAGTCTTGAAAGCTCTTTTATTGACGAGCAAATGGATGATTCTTCAGAAGAAGAAGAAAGTAAAGAAAGATCAAATCCAACCAAAAAATTGTTGAAACCTTAAATGGTTGAAGATAGAATGGTTAAAACAAAAGAAATTTCAGCGATAAATGATTTTTCTAGTGACTTAAATTGCTGTTATCTCGCCGAGCCAATAGTCAATGCTTTTAAGTAGATGAGCACTGGCTTGCTTCTGGAAAATAAATATGTGTTTTATTTCGGTTTGAAAAAATTAATAACGAAGATAATTGGTTCTGTTTGCCCTCCTATAGAATCAAAAGATTACACAAAATCTAAAGATTTCTAAAATTTTAAAGAATTTATAAAAGCGGTTTTCTATGGTAGTAATACCAATAGAAAAAAAGAAATAAATGAATTTAACATACAAAGTTTGAGATCTGTTCTAATTTAACAATCTAGAACAGCTCTGAGATTATTTAGCTAATTGTATGGAACAGAAATAAACTTTTATTTATGCGAATAAATTAGTAATGGTCTTTAATAATTTGAATTTGATATCAATCAGGAAAAAAACGGAGAACGTTTATTTTTGTCAGGAATCACTATTTAATGGGAAAGATTATTTTCCGTAGACGAGAGAGTTGTAAAATCATTTAATAAAACTTATGCAAAACTTTTGATTTACACAAATGTTGTTGCATAAATGTGTAACAGATTTTAAAATGATGAAAATAATCAGGCTTTCTTGAGCGAATATTCCTAGAGAATGATAAAAAAATTGTCATTAATTTTATTCCCTCATAGAAGATCAACTAAAAAAATGGATAATATTGATCTTTTTTAATTTTTTATGATATCTGCTGAAATTTTTGCTTTGTTGTAAGGTTTCAACAACATTAGAGAAATCTTTTATGAATAAGCAAAGATACAAGAAAACAAGGAAATCTAGAAAATGTTAGAAAGAGGAAAAATACAACCTATAAGAATAAATAAGTATTTCTACTTATCTATGTTCAGTGGCTTCAGAATAAAATTAATAATTGCACCGCTTTATTTATATCCATTAAAAGGTGAAGAGCCCTAGATAGAACCAGAACATAGAAGACATCTTAAAGATTTCAAAAAAGAGTAATAACATGAAAAAAAGTTATAACGTGAAAGATAGTTATAATTTGAATAGTAATAATTTGAAGAATAGTAATAACTTGAAAAATAGTTATAACTTGAAAAATAGAAATAATTTGAAGAATGGTAATAAAATAAAAAGTAGTAATAACCTAACCGCGTATCCGACTCATCAAAAATTATCAGGGCGACGAATAAAACTGATACTAATAGATTATCGTCTAACAATCCTGGTAATATTCTCAGGAGTAATAAAAAAAATTGAGGATAATTTAAAACAATCGATCAATCATTTAAGGAACAAATGACGCGATTGAAATTATGGTGCCTTTGAGCACCAAATATAAAACATTGAATAATATTTATTCAGACAAGCAATGAACTTGTAAATTTAAAAAACATTCCAATAAGAAATTATGTAAATAAAATTAAATAATTTTCAGTAACACGAAATTGTTATCCAAGATTATTTAAAATATGATATTTTTCCAAAAATAAAAAAAAAGATAAAATAATTACTATCTTTTACAGAAGATGATAAATAATTATTCTAATCAATCTAGTTTGAATAAGAATTAACTTTATCTAAATTGTTTTAATTTAATCCCTCTCTTTCTCTTTCTATTTTTCTTTCTGAATGTGATGAAATTTCCAACATCATAAACTTTATCAAATACTATTGCAATTGGTAAATGATTTATGTTATCATAATTAAAAAATGTTGGACAAATTGTTTTTATTTTGTAGATGAAATTAGACATTTTTATCATAAGAATTCAGTAATAAAAAATTTAATAGATGAATTTATTAAAAAAGATGAAATAGATAAAAAATTTTAAATTTTAATGACATTCGATTAACCTATTTACAACTCATTAAATGAATTACAAATTGATTGTATTAATCTTCTCCAAAATAAAAAAAAAAAAAAAAATATTATACGGAATGATTTCCAGTATTTCCCCAATTATTTATTTGAATATTAGAGACAAAATAAGAAATGATTTATTTTAATAACCGTTTTTCTTAGCAAAGTGCATAATCAACAATAATTACGAACTTTTAAATTTAGAACAATGGGAATTGAATGATAAAATTATCAATAAGATTTTTAAAAATAAAGTAGTAAGTGAAAGATAATTAAAATTTTTATTTTAAAAAGATTAATCTATTTTTACCAGATTGACAGAAGAAAATTTAAATTGTTTAATGTTGTATGATTGCTATGACGAACCTTATCTTTGTTTTAAATTTATGTTGGAAAATGGGCTTCAACAAAGCGAAAAGTTAATAACAACATTTATTTATGTTTTGTGCGATTTGGAATTGGTTGATATTAGCAAAATACAATTTCCCATTCTACTTTAAAAAATAGATGAAGGTATTGATTTAATAAAAAAGAATAAAAGAAAAATAAACTATTAAGGATTATTGAATATTTTTTTGAGAATTGGCGGTTAAGAATAAAAAATTAAATTTTTAAAAACAATATTTAATCACATTCCCATTCAATAATTTTTGTGCAGATAAGAATTGTAAAATATTTTTCAATTGAATGAATTTGTAAAAGTTAATTTTGGGTATGAAGTTGATAGATTTTATTGGTTAGTAATGAGATAATCATTTTCCAATTTAATCAAGTATTCATAAAAAGAAATACAAAAAGATTATGAAAAAAGAACATAAGAAAAAACAAAGGAAAGAACATAAGAAAGAACAAAAGAGTTGTATTTAATGTTCAGCGAAATGAAAAGATTTTGCTTATTCTGTTTTACAAATTTTAAAAATACAGGTTATTATTCATTATGTTAAGAAATCGATATTATCAATCAACCAATGGATCCAACTTTGATCTATTAGATTTGAAATTTAATTCATCAACTATTTTTTTTATTTTTTTATCTGTGGTTGACATTAAAAATTAATCATCAAATTTTTTACCAAATTATTCAAATTCTCTTATTGTTGCTTTTTCTTAATTTTCTTTTTTTATCAACATAAATATTAAAATTAAAAAATAATCACTATCTTCCCATTTTTTCTTTGGTTGAATATCATAAAATTAATCAAAGAATGAAGATCTGGAACTTATTGTGATATTATTTTATTCAAATTTATCAGCAATTTTTTAAAAGAATAATTTCAGATCATCGTTTTTTCTTTTGAGGTTTCTAGAAACAACATTAAAAAATTAATATTTTTACAAAAACCAAAATATCTTTTTCTTATTTTCTTCTGAACAATCGAAACTATTTCCTGTATTTTCTGTATTTTTTGTATTTTCTGTTACAAATCTAATAAATAAACTTTGTTGAAATTCAATATTATCATCATTTATTAATCTACACAACAGTTCAGTATTTTTCTTTTCTAATAAAATAATATTCAGTTCTTAATTTTTTGTATCAACAAAATTAAATGGTGCAAAACAATGAATAGTAATATCATCGGAATCATTGATATTTTTATTAACCTGGTCAAACAAGCCGATGGTCATACTCCACAGTTTTAAATTCCATTCTAAAATCTTCGTTGTTTTTAATTGTTTTTTTAATTCGTTCTCTTTTCCATGTTCATCATCTTATTCTATTTTTTATTCCGTGGTTCTGAATGTTTTCAAAATACAATTTGAGATTTCATCCATCTGTATTTTATTCAAAGATAATCCAATTCGATGTTCTTCTGGATCAACATAAAGTTAATCATATTGTTTTGTTATTCTAATTTCAAATCCATTTGGATCTTTGAATTCTGGTGGTAAATTATTGATTCTGACAACCGGCTTTTCTTCTCTATCCAAAAATAAACTATAAATATCATCTTCGATTGGTTTTGATTTGGTAATTAAATCAGTTGTTTCTTATTCCAATTGTTTTAACTAATCCAAGTTTAACTAATTATCAGAAATATTTTTAAATTATTCTTATTTTTCGTTATAGTATTTTTCTGTTTTTTATTTAATTTCCCCTAAAATGTGATAAATAATGAAAAACATTCCCAAAAAAAAACTACTATTTTTCATTTCAAATTATGTTACTTATTATTTCAGAATATCAATTGAAATTTATTGTTCCGCACTTTCCCTGTTAAAATAAAATAACAATGTTAACGAAAGAGAAAAAAGATCATCAAAAATTTAATTTAATTAATCATATTTTTCAGAAATAAGTAAATTTTGTAAAAATTTTAATATTTCATTCATTTCATAAGTTATTGATAAACGTTGTACTAAAATTCTCAAACCCTAATAATTATTAGATAATTTATTTATTGTAATATTGTGTTGATCAAATAGTTTCTTTATTTTTTCTTTAATATCTTCATTCTTTATTTTGTTAAAATAAAATATCAAATCTTAATCGAAAAATAATAAAGATTATTCACGAAGATTATCAAAATTTTTAATAATAAGCATATGTTCTTTTATTAAATTAGCTATCGTAGAATTTAAATTGGGATCATTTGGCACCGCGTTATTATTTACTTTATTTTCAAGCAACCAATTACAAAAATAAAAATAAATACATTGTGAAACATAATTCATTGAAGATTCATCGCTCTCTCCAATAATAGAAGTTAAATTAGTTGATTTAAAAAATTAACTAAAACAAATAATCTCATTACTTTAAAGATTGAGAAGACGATTTACCATTAAATTTCTTGTTTCACCCGAAATTTCATAAAAATAAATATTGATAAATTGAATGTCTTCTACAATTTTATGAATTTAATTATTGGTCAAAATATCAAATTTTTTTTAGATGGAATTTAATTTTAAATTTAACATAAAATTATTTTTAATTGATTCTTTGTCTATTTTAACTATTGATTCTAATCTTTCCATTTTACTTTGGAATTAATTTAATTTTTGTATTTTGAGTTCGGGAAATTATGTCAAATATTTTTAATAATCAAAATGTATCATCTCATCATTAATTTTAAATAAAAATATTTTCTTTTCTGTGAGTTTTTCAATATTTTTCAGATCTTCATTGGTTAAACTTTCCTTATTTTTATTGTAATATCTCACAATACTTTCATGTAAATAATCTCTTGTAACTTCATAGTAAATGTCCAATAATAATTAACCTTTGTGATATGGTTTTCCATCTAACATCACAATATCATAAATTTTATCAAAAATTTTTATTTAAAGATATTCTTAACCTAATAACAATTCACCTGAAATAGTTCGCAATTCAGATTGTAATTCTTGTAATAATTCAATCTCTATTTTACCAAAAATATCGTTTTTATTTCTGAGTTGAATCTTATCTTAATGACAAAAATAATTTATTTCTATTTGAATGTAATTAACAATTAATAAAAAATTATCAATTGTATCTTCCACACCCAATTAATCGATATTAACCTAAAATATCTTTTTTTCTTTATTTTTTTTATCTGGTAATTAAAAGAAAAATTTATTATTCTTTTTTACAACATCAATCACAATACAAACATTACAAGATTAACAACTAACTATTAATTTCTTTTCTTAATTTTTTATTTTATCAAGTGCATCAAAACAAAAGAATTTAATTTTATTAACCAATGACTTATCATCATCACAAAAATAATCAAAACTAATTTTCCAATTATCTATTCCCAAATTATTAGAGGGAATTGGAGAATAATTTTATTTTTGAAAAACAACTTTTTAATACTGGCCGAGAATATCATTGTATTAATTATCTTATTATTCAGTAAATTATTTTATTAAATTTTCGAAATAAAGTTTCATAAGACCAAAAATAATCGGATTTTTTTCTTTTGTGATTTGTAAATTTCTGATTATGTTGTTCGGATTGTATTGTTTTAGTAAATCATAATCATTTCCCAATATTTCCTTAATTTCTTCTTACCTATCAAATTTTTCTTATTTTTAGTAAATACCAAATCCCTCTAATTTTTTAAGATACTTTTCTAATTTGCCATGATCATTATCTTCTGAAAAATAATTAAGGATATTGTTTCCAACTTGTTTTATCTGTTGATAATAAAGATTGTAAATAGTTTAAAGGCCGGTGTTTCCACTAGTTTATTCATTCTGGAGAATATTAAAATTTTATTAATTGAATTAGAGACAAACATTATCATAAATTTATTTAACATAATATTCTTAATTGAAATTAGAAAAAAAAATAATAGTTTTTAGATAATTGCTGATGTGATGTTATTCAAAACCTAATGATTGAGGATCAAAATTAAATTACTTTTTCCATAAGATAGTATTTCCTTGATTATGTTTCATTTAATTTAATATCAACATTAATGTTTCTGGATAATCTTTGTGATAATTATTGAAGATTGTACTAATTGTATCCATTTTTATCTATTAATTTTTTGGATTGAGACTGAATTTCAATGTGAGATATTTTTAAAATTTATCGCAGAGTGTGCTATCTTAAATTCCTATCTCAACACATTTCGCAAAAAATTAATGAATGAAAATATTCACATCAGTAATTCCCATAGTCATAAAGTAATAGGACAGATTGTTTTTGATGTCCAAATCCTAAGTAGAATCAATAAATTTATCGATAAAAGATGATGATAACTTTTATTCTTCCATAGTATATTTGAAAAAAGTAAAAATGGATTTGATTAATTATCATAATTATCTCAATAGTTTAATAAGTCTATTAGGTTTTGATTCTTTTTAGACATTGTCCGAATTAGCGATGTTTTATCCCAATACCAAAACTAACAACATAATTTAAAACATTGATCTAAATTTTAATTTAATTAAAAAAATAAAATAAGAAAAAGGATATTATTAAATAATTTTGGATTTTCTTTGTTATGAATAAAAATAAAATGAATCACAGAGTGTTAAATAAGAATTTTGGTTTGTTTTATTATTTTTTGTAATCATAATATTATTTTACAAAATATTATTTTACAAAATATAAATTTGATAAAGATTGTGTAAAAATTTGTAGAAATGAGATTGTAAAAATTTAATAGATTTGTACCATAATTTCATAAACCAATTACAAAATAAACTGATTAAAAAACTGATTAAAAAATAACCTAGGTAGCCGCGCGCATCACTGAAAACCTCGAAGAAAAAGATGATTTAATTCTCAATAAATTAATAACCAATACAAACAAACAATTATTATTTGATAATAATTTTTTCATATTGTTGCAATAACAAAGTAGAGAAAAAGAATGGAATAGAGATGATCCATTAAAATTAATATCATTATTTTCTACTCACATAGTTTAGAAAGACATGGAAATACTTGATGAGAATTTTTACAATCTAATTAACAATCTCAACAAAGATTAATCATTCTTAATGACAAGATACATATTTCCCAAATTTTTTTGTATTTCAGAATATTTGATGGAAATGTATTCGGGCAATAAAGAGAAAAAGATTAATATTTTAAAATTATTATGTTTGTGCATTATGGAATAACCATATTGCGATAATAATCTCAATCCAATTGGTTAAGAATTGGAAATATTCTGTTCTAAAATTTTCAAAAATATTATCAAAACCATAAAAAAACCAATTTATTTAGTTTCTTCAATTAAAAAATCATTAGAATCAAAATATGATAAAAAACCAATAACATTATTGGAAAATGATGATTAATCAGAATTTAATATTTATTTATCAACTGTTGTCTTGAAAAAGAATCAATTAATTAAATTTTAAAAAAAAGATATGAAAAAAGAATTTATGGTTGTCCAATATTATTTCGACGAGGGCAATATCAAAAATTTATAGGAATTTGTTGATTAAAAATTTCTATAAGAA